TAATATACTCTGCACTCGATAAAAATTAATTTCCCCTGGGACTGTTCATAGACTTACGAAAAGCTTTTGATACAGTTGACCATGACCTTTTGCACCAAAAACTTGAACATTACGGGGTCAGGGGACACTCTCTCGATTACCTAAAATCTTATCTTAACAATAGAACCCAGTATGTATACATAAATGGAGCCTGTTCCACTACACAACCTGTTCTTGTTGGAGTCCCACAGGGGAGCGTTCTTGGCCCACTTCTCTTTCTCATTTACATCAATAGGGGCCCGGTGGCCTGGTGGCTAAAGCTCCCGCTTCACACACGGAGGGCCCGGGTTCGATTCCCGGCGGGTGGAAACATGCGACACGTTTCCTTACACCTGTTGTCCTGTTCACCTAGCAGCAAATAGGTACCTGGGTGTTAGTCGACTGGTGTGGGTCGCATCCTGGGGGACAAGATTAAGGACCCCAATGGAAATAAGTTAGACAGTCCTCGATGACGCACTGACTTTCTTGGGTTATCCTGGGTGGCTAACCCTCCGGGGTTAAAAATCCGAACGAAATCTTATCTTATCTTATCTTATCTTAATGACCTACCAAACGCATATAATCTCCTTAAACCCACTTTATTTGCAGATGGCACAACTTATGTCTTTTCTCACCCAAACCCAACCATACTAACAGACACAGTAAATGCTGAACTGCTAAAAATATCTACTTGGATGATTACCAACAAACTTACTCTCAATATTGACAAAACCTACTTCATGCTTTTCGGAAACAGAGCTTCAAATGTACAGCTTAACATATTGATAAATGGTTCACCTATCTCGAGACAGGCAGAGGGTAAATTTCTAGGTCTCCACCTTGACAGCAGTCTTAAATTTCACACACACACACATACTACAAATTTCTAAGAAAATCTCCAAGAGAGTAGGCATCCTTTCAAAGATACGGTACTATGTACCCAATCAGTTTCTACTTTGTACCACTTTTCATTTACCTTACCTCACTTAGTATTTGTATAGGGGCCCAACCACAGTAAATCACTTTAAGCCTTTAATAACCCAGCAAAAAGCTGCAGTGCGATTGATTACTAACTCCTGCATTAGACAACACACTCACACTTTCAAGTTTACGTACTAAATTTACAAAATCTACCTTGTATTGTCCACTAACCAGAGCACTTCTAATGTAACCCTCTTAAAACTCTCATTGATACTATAACAGACAACAACTTATACAGACGTCACTTTTCGTATTCGTGTTCATCTCTTATGCAAAAATGCTATTATGAATGGTTTGAATAACCGACAAGTGAAGATTGAGACATTATGTAGCTATGGAATCTTATTCAGGAAACGTTCGCCACACAGTGGCTTCATCAGTCCATACAAGTGGAAGGCGTAAGGAGAGAGTTAGTATGAGGTAATCAGTCCTCAGCCTGGAGTCGTATGTGTTCAGTGGCTATATACTGTATGAAGTGAGGTGAAGCAGCGGAGGCGGGGTCATAGTGGTACCATCACTAGTCGAAGTAGGTCTTCGTCCAAGTTGAACAGTGTTGAAATTCTTGTAACAAGATCCATGATGCTGCAGTGTCAGACACAGTGTCTGACACTGTGTCAGACAGTGTCAGACAGTGTCAGACACTGCAGCATCATGGGATCTTGTTACAAAGAATTCTTCAACACTTGTTCAACCTTTGGACGAAGACCTACTTCGACTAGTGGATGGTACCACTATGACCCCGCCTCCGCCTGCTTCACCTCACTTCACTACAGTATATAAGCCACGTCTACGGCCCTATGCTGTACATTCTACAAGATTGATGGACTGAACACATCGACTCCAGGCTGAGGGACTGATTACCTCATACTACTCCTCTCCTTACGACTTCCTCTTTGTATTGGACTGATGAAGCCACTGTGTGGCGAAACGTTTCCTGAATAAAGATTCCCATATGATGCATAAGTGTCTCAATCTTCAAAAATGCTATGTACGTAAAAGGCCCGAAGATCTGGAATTCATTGCCAGAACAAACTAAAGGACCCCTGTCTGCAAATCAGTTTAAGGACCAAATAAGAAATCACCTCATCACCCAAAATTAACCAGACAAACCATACCTAACCACTACCAGTTTCTCAAAAGCTACTCATATTGTGCTGATGAATGCTCAACCACTTACTACTTTGAAATTAGGATGTCTGTTCTTTTCACTGTTTTAAATAGTAGTAGATTGTAATACAGTACATCAAGGAGGCCAGAGTTACTCCTGCCTTCAAGGTCTGATGTAAGCAACTATAGGCCTGTTAGTATATTCAGTGTAATATCCAAAATTCTTGAGAGGGCGGTGCACTGTCAAGTAGTTAAGTACCTTAATGACAACAACATTCTCCATAGTTATCAATTAGGTTTAAGAAAATCTTACTCATCCGACACCTCCCTAATTAATCTGATGGATTACATGAGAACTGAAATGTCGATCGGGAACCTCATAGGTATGGTAACCTTAGACTTGCAAAAGGCCATCGATATTGTCAACTACAATATATTATGTAAGAAACTTCAAGCTATCGGCATAGGTTCTGTAGACTGGTTTAAGTCCTACTTTAGCAACAGGAGACAAATTGCCAAAATCAACGAAACAGTATCATAGCCCCTGCCGATAGCATGCGGAGATCCCCAAGGTAGTATTCTGGGTCCCTTATTATTCTTGTGTTATGTTAATGACATGTCCATCAGTGTTAAGTGCAAACTCCTATTGTATGCAGATGACAGTGCTCTGTTAGTGTCAGGTAAAGACCCACAAGATTTAGCTAATGTATTAACACAAGAACTGGAGTCCTGCAGCAAACGGTAAGTAGACAACAAACTATCGTTACATCTCGGGAAAACTGAAGCCATTCTCTTTGGCACGAAAACCCCCCTCAAGGAAGGTTCCTTGATGTTGGTGAGGGGCTCTTGATTTAAGGAATTGGATCTGTGCTCCAGTTCCCCGAAAAGCCTGAATGCCTTCCACATCCCCCCAGGCGCTGTATAAACTCCAGGTTTAGCGCTTCCCCCTTGATTATAATAATAATAATAATTTGGCACGAAATATAAACTGAGAAGGGTAAATAATTTTAATGTCCGGTGCAATGGGGAACCCATCACTTCAGTTTCCTCAGTAAGATATCTGGGAATCCCCTTTGACCCATGCATGTCAGGAGAATTGATAGGGAACAATGTAGTAAAGAGAGCGAATGCCAGACTGAAGTTCCTCTACAGACAAGCACAGTGTCTACCTACTAAGGCTCGCAGCACCCTATATCTAGCCCTTATACAGTGTCATATGGATTACGCTTGCTCTTCATGGTACTCTGCCGTGACAAAAAAACTGAAAGATAGACTGCAAATCACCCTGAACAAAATGGTAAGATTCATCCTGGACCTGGGTCCAAGAGGACATGTAGGCCAGGATGAATTACAACAGTTGGGTATGCTGAATGTTGAAGACAGAGTAAAACAACTAAAGTTAATTCAAGTTTATAAAATTGCTCCCAAACACTATCCAGAATATCTTGCTGCCAGTTTTGTCAAGGCTGGGAACCGGAGCAATCATAGTACTAGAGGTAGAGAGCACAACTTTGTAGTACCCAGTCATTTAGTTTAATATGTTTATTATGCACACCATACCCATCCTGTGGGCGGTAGTCAAAAGATTACAGAGGTACATAATGGGTCCAGGGACTGGACCCCAAAGTTATGATAGCTGAACTAGTTACAAAGGTAATGAACTCTAGGTAGATCTGGTCACATTCATGGCAAGTTACAAAGGTAATGAATCATCCTTACTCCTGTATATGGTTACAATCATGAACAAATTACAAAGTAATGAGCCACTGACACGTTCACACCCACAGTCAGTGGCCAGGCTTCAAACACCTTCTATTGTACAGCAATAAAGGAATGGAACAGACTGCCTGCACATGTTAAAGCCAGTCATAGCATGAACCAGTTCAAGAAGAGGGCCAAAAGGTACCTAATGAATTTAGCGACAGAAAGGGAAGAGAATTATTTTTTATTTTTTTTTTTTAGCTAAGACACATGCAATCTTCCCTTATTCTTAGTATATCTCCTTTATAGTGTAATAATAAGATATTGTCTCCTTTATAGAATAATAATATTTATTATTATCACACTGGCCGATTCCCACCAAGGCAGGGTGGCCCGAAAAAGAAAAACTTTCACCATCATTCACTCCATCACTGTCTTGCCAGAAGGGTGCTTTACACTACAGTTTTTAAACTGCAACATTAACACCCCTCCTTCAGAGTGCAGGCACTGTACTTCCCATCTCCAGGACTCAAGTCCGGCCTGCCGGTTTCCCTGAACCCCTTCATAAATGTTACTTTGCTCACACTCCAACAGCACGTCAAGTATTAAAAACCATTTGTCTCCATTCACTCCTATCAAACACGCTCATGCATACCTGCTGGAAGTCCAAGCCCCTCGCACACAAAACCTCCTTTACCCCCTCTCTCCAACCTTTCCTAGGCCGACCCCTACCCCGCCTTCCTTCCACTACAGACTGATACACTCTTGAAGTCATTCTGTTTCGCTCCATTCTCTCTACATGTCCGAACCACCTCAACAACCCTTCCTCAGCCCTCTGGACAACAATTTTGGTAATCCCGCACCTCCTCCTAACTTCCAAACTACGAATTCTCTGCATTATATTCACACCACACGTTGCCCTCAGACATGACATCTCCACTGCCTCCAGCCTTCTCCTCGCTGCAACATTCATAATAATATTATCTCCTTTATATTATGACAATAAGGTTGAAGGACCCCCAATGGAAATAAGTCACTTTGACTTTTTTGGGTTATCCCAGGTTGTCTACACATATGCTGTTATGTATGATAATCTATGCAACTGTATTTGTGTTAACCTGAATAAACTTACATACTTACTTATATAATAAAAACATACTAACTGAAAAAAAAAAAAACCCTGGTCAGGTGGTCGCTGTCACTGGCCTTTACAACCCCAACAAGACGGACACCAGGTGGTATTTTCGCCCCGGCACTCGAAAAAAAGGAATTCTGCGAAAAATCCCCAGAAATCTTGGGTAGTAGTGAGTTGGGTAGAGGTTCATCCGTGCCAGAGAGGGAGGAGAAATTGTCTTGACGCAACAGAGAAAAAGAAAGAAGTCGGCCATCAGTTGCAGTTTGTTGGGTCATTCCAGACAAAAAAGGATTTTTTTTTTTTCCGCCGATATTAGCATCCAACATGTCTGTGAAGAAGATTACCTCGCTAGAAGAGTTTACAGCTTTAGAGAAGTGAGTTGGTAGCGTCTTTCATCAGCACTTTATCTTCTTAACACCTAAAACTGTATCACTTGTATTATGTCAAAGATCCCTGTGGAAAAAAAATAACTTCAGACTTTTTTTTTTTGGGGGGGGGGGGGGATGATTTTAGATAATTTACACTATGTATGATAATTGTATATATGTGTACCTGTACTTAACTAAACTTACTTAATTACTTACTTATTTGTAGTTTTTCAAGTGAAAGCGCTAAACCTGTTTGGGTCATGTAGTGCCTTGGGAATAGAGGTATTTAGTTCCAGGGAAGGGGAGGATAAATCCAGTTCCTTGGATTAAGAGCCTCTCACTGGCATTAAGACACTTTCCTCCCTTAAGGGGAGTAGAAATGTTAAAAGACTTAACTGCAGCTGTACTAAGCCTAGTCAGGGTTGCTGTATGACCCTCGTGGGTTTAGTGCTTCTTCTTTTAAATAATAATAATAATAATAATAATAATAATATAATTAATAAGCCCAGTCAGAGAGAATAAAAAGTCTCATTACCATGGCTGGAACAATTCACTGAAAACTCATCTCGTGAGTGCAGGTTTTGGGTGAAAAGCCTTATCAAGCTATCAGAACTTTGTTCCACATTAAAATTTTCAATACGCTTTGCAAATTACACACACTGCAGTCAGCAAATGTATATCACATTTAAAAAATTTCCTCTGGAAATGGGAATTCACATAAAAAATGAGGAATCAGTATGTGTTTATATTTTACAACCAGAAAAAGTAAATTTCTTAACTTTGATTTGTTTGTTGTATATTTACAAGATGTAATGCAACTGATAATTGGAGCTTTAGTTTTTTCACTGTAAACAGTTAAGGATATCCATTAGTTTATAGTTGAAGGTGCTAGAATGTTTTTTGTGTGAGATATAGACATTATGTGATTCTAGGGCAAAGCAACTTTGCTGAAAATGAACTTCAACTGATAGTTTTTTTTTTTTTTTCAGAAATAATGGATTATCTGTGGTTCCATTTCATGGCTGATTGGGCTCCACAGTGTGATCAGATGAATGAAGTTATCAATGAACTTAGCAAACAGAGAGAATTGAAGGTTAGCTACCATATTTTTTGCTACTCTTTCTTGTAATACATGTACTCTCACTTAACGACCGACCTGTTTAAAGACCACTTGGACTTACAACCAGCTTTGCGACCAGTGTACTGTATGTGTAGATTCCTTTTTTTTTATTGCTTTTGATGCCTAGTTCTATTTTTAATGCACTAAAACTGTTATTAATGGTGCAAAAGTGACACTAAAACAATATCTAAGATGGTTGAAACAAATCCACTACCAGTACAGTATGCTTGAAATATCAGTAATGGGCGGCTCCTGCTTAACAACCAACTCACTTACCGACCTACTCTTAGGAACGGAACTCTGTTATTTAGTGAGGAGTACCCATAGTACATAATTAAAATTTACTTCTCAATAACCTATGTCTAATCTTAAGTAATTTGTAAGCATTAGGATTAGTCTGCCAGAAATGCACTTGCATGCTAGTTAGTGGCTTTCTTTGTGTTTAACAATATTTTATTACATGTAAACTGTGCTTTATATACTACACAAAGCAATAAAGATGTTTGTTGTATATATATTAAATGATAAACAATTTACAGCATTTAGAGACACTAATAGTTTTGATTTGCTCTTGTAATAATTTCATGGTATATAATAATGTAGTTCTTTCTTTTCCAATTCTTTCTGAGGCCCACTATCTTTCTTTTATTTTTCACTGTTTATGATAATTTTGAACAGCATAAATTGGCTGTAATAATTCACAACTAATCCATGAATTGGAGAAGAAATGAAATGTTTTGGTTTATCCTTTTTGTTAAGTCACAAATCACTTGATAATGGTTAGGAGAGACTGGGATATTGTCTCATTTTATCTTCAATTTATCGGTTAGTTGTGAATGTATCTGAATTATCTCAGTCTATCACAGCTTTATTTTTATTTATTGACCAGGAGGTAACCTTTGGTATTGTGGTTGCTGAAGATATCCCAGAAGTTAGCTTGAAATACAACGTTTCTGCTGTGCCTACCTTTGTGTTGTTTCGTGGCGGAAAAGTTATTGAAAGAGTTGATGGTGTTAATGCAGCAGAACTCACTTCCAAAGTTAAAACACAGGTGAGTTTGAAGCATGACATCAGCTGTCTTGTCTGACATTTGATTATTTTTGTGTAAATATGTTAGCTGGACTTGAGTCTTGAAAATGGGAAGTACAATGCCTGCACTTTAAAGGAGGGGTTTGGGATATTGGCAGTTTGGAGGGACTTCTAAACTGTCATATCTGAGTGCCTCGGCAAAGACAGTGATTATGTATGAGTGATGGTGAAAGTGTTGAATGATGATGAAAGTATTTTTCTTTATTTTAGGGTTTTTCTTTCTTTTTAGGTCACCCTGTCTCGGTGGGAAATGGACGATGTGTAAAAAAAATTAAAAAATGTTCCAAATGAAATAATGCATTTATTTCATTGAATAGAATTAATAATGCAATCTGTTATTAATTGGTATTAATTAATAGTTATATTCTGTATTTTATCTGTGTAATGTTTTGACAACTATTTTAACAAGTATTATTATAAATTTATGTAATCTATAATTTTTTCCACATCACTATTCCATTACATCGGTTCCCCTTTCACATCTCCATGGCTGATAATTCCAGGGCCTGTATAGTTTATCACATTAAATTTTTATCCTTTGGTCTTCCTGTTTTGTACCTTCTTATAATCTGGTGAGTTGCCTCATTCTGCATACTCTTTGTGATAATATTGCACATGTTGAAACTTTTAAAGTTCTGTTCTTAATATCATATTCTTCCAATTTTAATCGTTTCCTTTTCGTTTTTAGAGTATTATTTTTCACAGTAAACTTGTGTCAGTTTTATGCTGTCTATTTGTGTATGTTAATGTGACAATATGGTTTTCTTATTTGCATATAATGTACTGTACAGAATTTTTTTGATAGTAACTCGCCATTCTTCAAATCTCATATTTTTATTACAGATTGGACAGTAAACAGAATGTTACCTTAATCCTTATTGCTCTGTTGAACTTTTTTATTACAGTTTTCAAAGGTTTTGAATACCGTTTTTAAATTTTTTAATTTATGTAAGCAATATACTTTGTATTTTAGCTTGTTGTTAACTGTACCTATTTCACCTTTTATGACTGGTTAGAGTGGTGTATAAAGATGGCTCAAAATAACGTCTAGATACCACAGCTAGTCTTTTTGCAGGCTGCAAAGACCACCTTGGTGTCAACTGTTCCTGTTGCACCTGTTGAAGATCTCAACACTCGCCTCAAACAACTCATTAACTCGGCTAAATGTATTGTTTTTATGAAAGGATCACCAGATGCTCCAAAATGTGGTTAGTTTTTGTATAATTTCTTAGTATAGAATATAATATTTTTGTACTTCTAAATTTGTTAAAAAGTAATAATATTTTGTGAACATAAAAGCTTTACACATAAGAAGGGCTTACGTATTTTGCACTTTTATAGAGATGAAGAGGAAGAATCTGACTAGTTTTTGCTTTGTATTTTGCATTTCAGCACCTAATTTTAACCACTAGCCATATGAATATTCTCAGTAGTCTTGTGCTATTATTATTACCTTTGATCTTCAAGTTAATAAATTGTTTTACTTGATTGCAACATCTTCCACACTATTACTAACCTTTAACTTTGCACATTTTACTTTATTCTTCAGCTGCACTCTTCATTTGAAATCATATTCTCTAGTATTGCCTCAAAAGCTGTTATTGGTGAAACAAAGCACGTACTGTATAGCATAACTAGACCTTTTATTATTATAATGTTTTACCTACAAAAGAGTTAAAATCCATACTGCACATCCATACAGCAGTGTTGGTTCCCCTATCCTTTGGTACATTTCCCTTTTATATAAAGCCTCCATGGAGGCTTTATATAAAAGCACCACCCACCTTTTTTTACTGTCATCAGCTGTATGATTCACCTCATCTTTCTTGGACCCAGCTACACAAAGGCCCACTTAAAAATATCTGAATAAATTTGCTTCTGATATTGTCTTTCATTGTCTAGATGTTTTGTTACTCTCATCACCTTGCTCTTTCTTATGTTCACTTTTAATTTCCTACTCTTTCTTGCTCTTCCCAAATTCCTCCACCTACCTTTGCTTAATAGCTAACCATGGAAAAATTCTTTAGTCCTTTCAGAAATTTATAAGTTAAACCATTGTCCATTTTACTTTCAAGGATTCAGTCGCACCACTATAGAGCTACTTAACAAACATGAGGCTGATTATTCCAGTTTCAATATACTTACTGATGAGGAAGTACGCCAAGGTCTTAAAACCTACTCCAATTGGCCAACATATCCACAGGTTTGTACAGTTTTTCATTGTTATATTTATTATTTCTCAATTATCAGGTAAAATTTTATGAAAAATTGATAAATTTAATGTATTGAGGATACATGTTTGCTCTGGAAACTAAGTGAACTTAGACCATTTATGTAGTGTAGGTAGACTGCTGTGAGCATGGGTGTCTGTTGGAACTTTTCCAAGGGTAATGCAAAGGTTTCCTGGGGTAAACAATGGGATAGGCAAGCCATTATTACAATTAGTTTTTCCTTATCTCGGTCTTCATCCAGGAAAGGAAACTGCAACTCCTTTTTTTTTTTTTTTCATACCCCACCAGACACCCATGACTATGTGGCAGGCATTACTAGGGCAATGACTGGGTGATTATGTCTTTTCAGAAAATATCTCGAGTTTTGAAACAATCATTACCTCTTTCAGAGGAAAGTGATTCTTAATGTGCAGATTTTCAGGAATTACATAGATGTTTATGTATTGTGTGATTGTAAATGTTTTGAATATTAAGTAATTTTCTTACAATGCACAATGCATTGCTAAAAGTGTAGCTCAGTAAATGTTTTTTAAGTGTTTAGATAATGTATGGTAACTGACCTAGAAAATGTACAGAGAACCTTCATGGCACAAATAACGGCGATAAAACATCTCAGTTGCTGGAAACGCTTGAAGTTCCTCAACTTGTACTCCCAAGAATGCAGGCAGGAGAGATACATGATTACATACACTTGGAAAATCCCAGAGGGATTGGTACCAAAGTTGCACACGAAAATCACTCCCTATGAGAGCAAAAGACTTGGCAGACGATGCAACATCCTCCCAGTGAAAAGCAGGGGTGCCACTAGCACGATAAGAGACAACACAATAAGTGTAAGGGGCCCAAGACTGTTCAACTGCCTCCCAGCATACATAAGGGGGATTACCAATAGACCCCTGGCTGTCTTCAAGAATGCACTGGACAGGCACCTAAAGTCAGTACCTGACCAGCCAGGCTGTGGTACGTAAGTCGGGTTGTGTGCGACCAACGGTAACAGCCTGGTTGAGCAGGCCCTGATCCACCATGAGGCCTGGTCATTGACCCCCGAAACCCTCTCCAGGTATACTCCAGCTATTTGCATTAAAAAATAGATTTTGTGGTAGAATTTTTTTTTATGCATTATATTTTGTGAAAGTATTGTTTTTTCAGCTGTATATTGATGGGGAGCTTATTGGAGGCCTAGACATTTTGAAGGAAATGGATGCCTCAGGAGAATTAGGTCCTATGCTTCCTAAGAAGCAAAAGCTGGAGAATAGGTACGTAAAGTTTTCTGATTTCATTTGATAGAATGGAAGATATATTACAGAAATAGAGATAATTTTGATTGGTTTCAGGACTGAAAGTAGCTTGAAACTAAGCTAAAGTAGTGGTAATGTTGATTTTTGCCGATATTCCAGAGTACACAAATGATGTCACTTGTCCAATACGCGTCCAAAGAATATGCATTTAGGAATGTATTGACATTATTTATACAATTATTGCAATAATGCAGTAATCTGCATAACAGTAAATCTTCTATTTCTTTGTGTGAATAAAAATTCAGAATAGAAAGCAAACATAATATAAGAGAGGCCTGAGAATATAACTAATTAACAGAGGAAATGTTTTTTTGTGCTTGGAATGTCTGCATTATTTAAATTTAACTTGATTCACGAAATTGTAATGAGACGATAGCAACACGACGGTCTGAAGTTTTGAGACTCTCTGACTGCGCATTTAAACCCCACCCATGGTATGGTTTTTTTTCTTCATTATTTATTCTGGATCCTATTTTTAAACTGGCAGTTTTTTAATTTTGTGTAAAATTGGCCAAATTATTGATTTCTGAGACCTTATTGGGTTAATGAAAGAGGTAAATGGGCAGTTTCTTGAACTTAATCAATAGAATAGAAGGAATACTAGTGAAATAGCTATGAGTTTGGTCAACTGGAACGGTGGAATTGGCCAAAAATAGGGCTCAAAGTGGGCGAAATCGCTGATGCATATCACCGAGACTGCTAACTTTGTGAGAGCATGATTCCATAAGTTTTCCCTCAAATTTCATACTTTTGGTTTCATAACCTTTGGAAAAAAAGATTATCATTTCATGAGAATTTTTTTTTTTTTTTTTTTTTTTTTTTTTTTTTTTTTTTACCCTGGGAGCAAGTTTGAGATTAGGAGTCTCGATTCTGAGAGGGTTAATAGTGTTTCCTGCAGTATCTGATGTGCAGTAATGTCGTATGTAGTATCTGTTGAAGCAGTTTTTTTTTAACACACTGGCCATCTCCCACTGAGGAAGAGTGACCCAAAAAAGAAACACTTTCACCATCATTCACACTATCATTGTCTTGCCAAAGCTGTGCATATACAACAGTTTAGATGTCTCTCCAGGACTCAAGTCCGGCTAATTAAAGAAGGAAGGCATATGACTGCAGAGCAGATGTTGTAGACTATCTAAAATCTCTTTCATATTTCTTATCATTCTTTGCTTGTTTATTGCATTCCTTATTTACAATATTGTGTGTTACTGTTCTGTAGTATATAAACAATCACTCCATTAACCCCTAAACGGTCCAAGCAGATCTACGTTCACATGTGTATTGCTCCAAAAGTAGATCTACGTTTTTTTTACATATTTTCAAATATAACAAAAAAAAAAGTAGATCAAAGTTTTTTTTACACATTTTCAAATGTAAAAAAAAAAAGAAGATATGCTTTTTTTTACATTCAAATGTTGAAAAAATGTATACTGTATACGTTTGGACCGTTTACGGGTTAAATAATCCAGTTTCTTGATTAAAAAGAGACTAACAATGGGAAAAAATTTTAGTTTACTAGGTAGGAAATTCTTCATTGTTTTACTGGTTCAATTAACACTTGAATTTGTTTTACAGGTTAAAAAGTCTTATCAATAAGGCACCATTGATGGTATTCATGAAAGGTGAACGGGAAGCACCTAGATGTGGCTTTTCAAAAACGTTGATTAGCATTCTTAATGAAACTGGGTAAGTCAGCCTGATAATAAGAAACAAACAGAAATTTTGTTTTGGTGAGAGATGAGTAAGGTGAGAGAATCAAGAGAGAGAGAGTAATTGTATGTTTGATAAACACTGAGTTACTGATTGAGCAGCTAGAGGTATAATAAATAGAGATAGAGTGAACAGTTTTCAGTAATTGTTGAAAGTAGATAATGAAATGAAGGCTGAAATATACGTTATTTAGGATGAATAAAGAGCAAAAAGTGTGAAGGAAGCTAGGGAAGTAGTGTTATGAAGGGTTCTGTTTTGCCCATGAAGGTCGCATTACTTCGTAACAGTAGTAAGAAAGATGAAAGTGGAAAGAGCAGTAAGGGTAGAGGAAATTACTGGTAAGTCTAAAATACTGAAAGCAGGTGAGAATACAAGGAGATAGAAAATGGGAAAATAAGATGCAAGAGTGTTGAAGAGTCTTTGGAAAGACAGGTTTGTCAGCAGCTGCAAAAATGGACATTCATCAAGAGGACTGTGTAACAGCAATGTGCTGATGCATTTGTATGACTGTTAAACATGGTATCTAAATGTTACTGTGAAGAGGAGGTTAGTTACATTGAAAAGGTTTTGTCAAAGAACAGTGTATGGCATGAATGTTATGCAGAGAGTTGATACTAAGGATTGACTAAGGTGACAGTGTCATAGTATGAAAGAGTAGAGAAAGGACTTCTTTCTTCTTTCAACACACCGGCCATATCCCACCAAGGCGGGGTGGCCTGTATATATTACTAAATGTAAAAGGAGAAACGAAAGTTTCTCCTTTTACATTTAGTAATATATACAGGAGAAGGGGTTACTAGCCCCTTGCTCCCGGCATTTTAGTCGCCTCTTACAATACGCATGGCTTACGGAGGAAGAATTCTGTTCCACTTCCCCATGGAGGTAAGAGGAAATAAACAAGAACAAGAACTAGAAAGAAAATAGAAGAAAACCCAGAGGGGTGTGTATATATATGCTCGTACATATATGTGTAGTGTGACCTAAGTGTAAGTAGAAGTAGCAAGACGTACCTGAAATCTTGCATGTTTATGAGACAGAAAAAAGACACCAGCAATCTTACCATCATGTAAAACAAATACAGTCTTTCATTTTACACTCGCTTGGCAGGACGGTAGTACCTCCCTGGGTGGTTGCTGTCTACCAACCTACTACCTAGGAGAGAAAGGACTTATTTATGTAAAATCAATATGTACCATTACACTCTTTCCAAATTAGCATGCTAACATAAGATGAGGGAAAAATTCATAGATATGCTCAACAGAAAACTAACTTTACCACTCACATCCAGCACAATTTTTAAAAAAATTTCAAAACAGTAGGCATGCTCTCAAAAATTGGCTACAATGTATCTCAAACATATGTGCTTGGGGATCACCTAAAGCAAATTGCTTAAAACCAATTGTGGCTCTACAAAAATATGTTGTTAAAATGATCACTCAATCAGATTGCAGACAACACATACTGCTGCTATTCAGAAGTCTAAATTTATTCAGCATTCAAACCAGCTGTACTTACTACTATGCATTCTGTATGCACAGAACACTTAACACAAATACAAACTGACTAACCTCTTCTTAAGAAGCTGCAACAGAATGTTTAGACACAACACAAGAAAGAAATTTCTACTTAACATCCCACATATTTGACTCAAAGTAGAAATTCTAAGCACGTAAATGGTCCAAAAATATGGAACTCACTTCCAGAAGCTTCTGAAGATTTTCCATTTGTTTACTGCTCCAAAAATATTGTGTAAAAACACCTATAACTGATATAAGTCATTAAGATTGTCTCAGCTATATCCTTCCCTGTCATTATTGTTTAGGGTTGCTATTCCCTCATGTTAACATTACTGTTATACTTTTTTATTAACACATCGGCAGTTCCCACCAAGGCAGGGTGGCCTGAAAAAGAAAAGCTTCCATCACCACTCACTCCATCACTGTCCTGCCAGAGGTGCACTTTCACTACAGTTATAAAACTGCAACATTAACACCTCTCCTTCAGAGTGCAGACACTGTACTTCCCATCTCCAAGTCCGGCCTGCTGGTTTCCCAAGATCCCTTCATAAATGTTACCTTGCTTACACTCAACAACATGTCAAGTCCTAAAATCCATTTGTCTCCATTCGCTCCTATCAAACACGCTCATGCATGCTTACTGGAAGTCCAAGCCCCTTGCACACAAAACCTCTCTTACCCCCTCCCTCCAAACCTTTCCTAGGCCGACCCCTACCCTGCCGTCCCTCCACTACAGATTTATACGCTCTTGAGGTCGTTCTAATTTGTTCCAACCTCTCTCCATGCCCGAACCATCTCAGTAACCCCTCCTCAGCCCTCTGGATAATAGTTTTGGTAATCCCGCACTTCTTCCTAATTTCCAAACTACTGATTCTCTGCATTATAATCACACCACACATTGCCCTCAGACATGACATCTCCACTGAGTCCAGCCTTCTTGTTGCAACATTCACCACCCTCTTTGCAACATTCCCCTCTTTGCTTTCATGGATAATGTTCTTTGTCTCCACAGACTCCTCAGTGCACCATTCACCTTTTTTCCTTCATCAGTTCTATGAATCACCTCAACTTTCATAGACCCATCTGCTATGAAAAACAAAATTTTGTTACTTTCAGCAATTGGTGTTGTGCATTAAAACTCTTTTCAGGAAAGCAAGTTATGTCAACCCTAGCATTCACATGATCAAATGTGAGCTTACAGTGTTTTATTATTCTAAGTTAGCATTTAGTTAATTTTAGGTTAGACTTAAGTTACTTTTAATTTGCTTTAAATTCACTGCAGTAGCTGTCCACGTATGCATCTTCATGGTAATTTTTGTATGATGCTTTTATGTAAAAGCTCTTAAATCCCAATAGCACCACCTCACCCTCCTATACCTTCCTCTGGTACCCCGAACAGCACCTCACATTCACCCCAGATTTATACACCCTCTCTATCAACCTGTTTTTCTTCACTATAGTCTATGAGTATAAAATCCAAGTATAGCTGGTATTGTTTTGGTCATCCTTCTTTAGCCATAAAATTAAATTTTGAGATTAGGGATTGAAATTTGACTTGCTAGTTTGAAATAATAGTTGTGTCATACTTCTGCAGAGTAAGAAGAGTATGTGGAATAGTGAAGATTGTTATATAGACTGTGTTTACAAGTTGGAAATTAGCAAGATCATGAGAAAAGAGAAAATGTTATATAAAAGAAAACAAGGAGAATAGGCAAATTGCTGATAATATATTGCAGGTACAAAGAAAATAAATTTGCCAGCTAGTCCTACATTTTACTTCTTTTTTTTTTTTTTTTCCTTTTTTCTATGTAAAGTGGTGGGGACCACAGCACAACCTATATACCTTTTTGTTTTTGAAAGATTATACAGTTGTTCCTATAAATTTCAGGTCTCCATATTTGTGTATTTCAGTTATAGTGTGGGATATATTTTACTGAGAGGCAACTAGCAAATGATTAAATTTTCCACTGTTTTTGTGGCTTAATGGCTCATGCCAAAATCTCTTATTCTAGCCATTATTTTTTATGAATGTCAGTATTTATAAGATTAGAGCAATATACAGTATTACAGAAACAAAACAGACCCAAATCTGAAATAAAAAAATTCTGCTGGCAAAACATTGGATCATTTGTGGTTTCTAGTTTTGCAGGACCCCTAAGAATGTAACTCCCTGTGAATTTGTATATGCATTTGTACATCCTCTCAGCATGCTTTCCAAAATGAAATATGATAATATTTAGTATTTTGTATGTATACAATATGAACATTAAAGTAATATCAAATTTCTGAATTGTCAATTTTCAGACTGGATTACAACACCTTTGACATCCTTACTGATGAGGAAGTTCGACAAGGACTCAAGTCATACAGCAACTGGCCCACTTATCCTCAGGTAGTACATTAGACTCCTCACTCATATGATTCTCTTACAATACGCCTTTTCTCATTCTCACTCAAATTATTATTCTTGTGCTCACCAACCCATTACCTTGGAGGCGAGTCTTCATCCAACATAACACCAGGCAGGTACCTGTCCTGGCCTCAGGCAAGGCTGCAAGAGTAGAAGAACCATTGGAATTGGTCTTAGGTCTCACAGATGCTTCTGAGCCACCCTACTATAAAAGCATTGGACAGATTTTGTCAACTAATACAGTGTACTCCATGAGTGTTTGTTGAAGGTACTTTTATTTGCATTTTATATAAATTTTTTTTCAATTTTGTTGTACAGTGGAAATAGGGCATAAGCATTCACCATCTTTGGTAGTCCATGACTCGTGTTGATAGGTGCATGTGTGAGCTTGTAATGACACTGAGGTACACTACAAACTTCGCCACGAGGGTCAACGAATAGCTCTGCTGCAAGGCAGAACATGGGACTAAAGTCTCATTTAATGCCCATATTTAAACTAAGCAAATGTATTGTTAAGAGCCTGTCTTACTCAATAGTTTTATCAGATTAAGTTGAGGGTTCCTAAGTTTAATTTTTTTAACATAAATGTTAAATGAAACAAAAACTTGCTGATATATTGCCTTTACTTTTACAGATCTATGTGAAGGGGGAGCTCATTGGTGGTCTGGACATCATCAAGGAGCTTCAGGCATCAGGTGAACTCATGGGAACTTTGAAAGGAGAATAATTATGTAAGAAAAATATTTCTCTTCAAAAAATCAAAAAGGTAGATCCATAATCTTTGCAAATACTTTACGGACACATGTTAATGATGGAAACAAAAATTAAGTCCTGCATGTTACCAAGTGGAAAATTATAATGTTACTTCGTGTAGAGTTACAACCTCCATAAAAAGGTAGAAATTAGGAAAAAGTTATGTGATTTACAGAAATAAAATTCTTGAAATACTAAACTGTTTTAAATTTATAATTTATTCATCTGATTTCATTCTTGAGGTTGGCCTGATATGTTGTATATTTTAATTGACATCTATCATCAAGTTGTACCTTTTCATTGTTGGTCACTGATAATATAGGGGTTTTCCTAAGATTAAACACTCATTTTTTATTAAACTATCTTACGTTGTTATATTAGAGGTTCTGTCTGGTTCATCTTGAAGTCTATACACTATATATCATGAAATAATTGTGGTGATGATGAAAGCTTTTTCTTTCTTTTTGGGTTACCCTGCCTCGATGGGAAACAGCTGACTTGTTAAAAAAAAAATTGTGGTGTGTGTGTGCAAGCACAAGCTGTATTTGTAGAACTTCACATTGTGAATTAATATTTTTTTTTTTTAATGCACTGGTCGTCTCCCACTGAGGCAGGGTGACCCAAAAATAAAAAACGAAAGTTTTTCTTTTTACATGTGGTAATTTATACTATCTTCTTTCAATGCACCGGCCATATCCCACCGAAGCAGGGTGGCCCAAAAAAGAAAAACAAAAGTTTCTCTTTTTAACTTTAGTAATGTATACAGGAGAAGGTTATTAGCCCCTTGCTCCTGGCAATTTAGTCACTTTGTACGACTTGCATGGCTTACAGAGGAAGGATTCTTTTCCACTGTATGTCATAGAGGACTTTTGAAATACAGTGGACCCACGGTTAACGATATTTTTTCACTCCAGAAGTATTTTCAGGTGCCAGTACTGACCGAATTTGTTCCCATAAGGAATATTGTGAAGTAGATTAGTCCATTTCAGACCCCCAAACATACACTTACAAACGCACTTACATAAATACGCTTACATAATTGGTCGCATTCGTAGGTGATCGTTATGCGGGGGTCCACTGTACCTCTTTTCATCAATTGAATAACAAAACTAAGTTTTTCACTTCATGTAATGTGGAATTCAGGTTCAGCACCTTTCAGGGATGTTACTGCTGTGTTAAGTGGATAAGATTAACTAAGGTTTGGATTTTTGACCCAGAGGGTTAGCCACCCAGAATAACCCAGTAAAGTCAGTGAGTCATCATGGACTGTCTGTCTTATTTCCATTGGGGTCCTTTAATCTTGTCCCCCAGGATGTCCCATAACAGTTAACTAAAACTCAGGTACATAATTGCTGCTATGTGAACAGGGACAGCAGGTATAAGGAAACATGCCCAGTGTTTCCACCCATGCTGGGATCAAACCACGGACACTCAGCGAGTGCATTATATCTTATATTGTTCCATCTCAACTTTGTTTTTCCACACAATTCATTTGGTTAGCCATATCTTAATACACCCATTTTTTCTCTTTGAAAGAATTAAATCATTCATTCCTAATTTACACTTTAAGTGAATGCCTTGATATTGGTGAATGGCTCATGATCCAGGAGGTAGGAGCTACCCTCCCATTTCCTGGATCAGATGAGTTTAGTGTTCCCCTGTGAATGTAATAATCATATTACTTTTGGAATAATGAAAAATTACGTAAGTAAATTATGAAAATATTTGAAGTTCCAAGAAATGATAGAACTAGGGTGTTGTGTTAAGGAAAAAAATCAATTTATTAATACTTCTTTATTCAAAATGATTCTCACATACTCAAATTTGAGTATAATTATAAGGGACAAAGTTGGTGCACTTGGAAAAGTGATAATAAGGCTGCAGTCTGCAACAGACTGAAAAGCATTTTGGCAATGTTATTGCATACAGCAAACTCCAGTTAATTGAACATATCCATTATTCAGAAACCACCTTAGTCACAACACATTTCTACCATAGAATTTCTAGTTCACAAATTACTCTTGAAATATGTATACAGTTACTTTCTAACTGCTGTACATCAGCCATTTGAAGGCAGTGCCCATGATATAAAATTCTGTACGCAAGGCTGCATCGGTTACTTGTTCGTGTAACTAAAGTTTACCTGTTGTTGTTTTGCACTTGAGTTTGTGTGTATTATGCAATTTTATGTATCCTTCAAATGTGTTGGATAATCCATTGCTAATAACACTCGAGATGAGCAAAAATCAGTTTGGCATTGCTTGTGCATGCTTGTGGAATTGTCATTAAAAATATGAGAGAAGGGCTCAGGTGATATTGTCTTATGTTGGAAACAGAATTCAGTCATTCTAAGGAAGAGTGGTTGTAAAAGATGGTACATAGTTAAAATCCAAGAACAGAGTCCAAGTGTAGAGAGATGGATTAAACCTTCATACCTGTAATTATGAATGAAATATTAAAGTATGTTTCCCCCTTTTTTTTTTTTTTTTTCTACAAGTCGGCCGTCTTCCACCGAGGCAGGGTGACCCAAAAAGAAAGAAAATCCCCAAAAAGAAATTACTTTCATCATCATTCAACACTTTCACCTCACTCACACATAATCAATGTTTTTGCAGAGGTGCTCAGAACACAACAGTTTAGAAGCATATATGTATAAAGATACACAACATATCCGTCCAAACTGCTAATATCCCAAACCCCTCCTTTATAGTGCAGGCATTGTACTTCCCATTTCCAGGACTCAAGTCCGGCTATATAAAAATAACTGGTTTCCCTGAATCCCTTCACTAAATATTACCCTGCTCACACTCCAACAAATCGTCAGGTACCAAATACCATTCGTCTCCATTCACTCCTATCGAACAGGCTCATGCACGCCTGCTGAAAAATTGGATATCAAATTGGGGAGGAGGAGTATGGAAGAAGTGAATGTTTTCAGATATTTGGGAGTTGACGTGTCAGTGGATGGATTTATGAAGGATGAGGTTAAGCATAGAATTGATGAAGGAAAAAAGGTGAGTGGTGCATTGAGGTATATGTGGAGGCAAAAAAAGTTATCTATAGAGGCAAAGAAGGGAATGTGTATGAAAGTGTAGTAGTACCAACACACTTATATGGGTGTGAAGCCTGGGTTGTAAATGCTGCAGCGAGGAGGCGGTTGGAGGCAGTGGAGATATCCTGTCTAAGGGCAATTTGTGGTGTAAATATTATGCAGAAAATTCGAAGTGTGGAAATTAGGAGAAGGTGTGGAGTTAATAAAAGTATAAGTCAGAGGGCTGAAGAGGGTTTGTTGAGGTGGTTTGGTCATTTAGAGAGAATGGATCAAAGTAGAATGACATGGAGAGCATATAAATCTGAAGGGAAAGGAAGGCGGGGTAGGGGTCATCCTCGAAAAGGTTGGGAGGGAGGGGTAAGGGAGGTTTTGTGGGCGAGGGGCTTGGACTTCCAGCAGGCGTGCATGAGCCTATTCGATAGGAGTGAACGGAGACGAATGGTATTTGGTACCTGACGATCTGTTGGAGTGTGAGCAGGGTAATATTTAGTGAAGGGATTCTGGGAAACTGGTTATTTTTATATAGCTGGATTTGAGTCCTGGAAATGGGAAGTACAGTACAATGCCTGCACTATAAAGGAGGGGTTTGAGATATTAGCAGTTTGGAGGGATATGTTGTGTATCTTTATACGTATATGCTTCTAAACTGTTGTGTTCTGAGCACCTCTGCTAAAACAGTGATTATGTGTGAGTGAGGTGAAAGTGTTGAATGATGAAAGTATTTTCTTTTTGGGGATTTTTCTTTTTTGTGGGTTACCCTGCCTCAGTGGGAGACGGCCAACTTGTTAAAAAAAAAAAAAAAATTATATTAATATATATGCTTCAATGTAAACACCTGATCTACACATCCCCTACCCACTCTAAAACCTCCTTGCTCATCCGCAATTCTATATTCTGTCTTACCTCTAATTCTTTCAATAATAACCCTACCTTACACTTTTCCTGGTATACTCAGTAAACTTATTCCTCTATAATTTTTATAATCTCTTTTGTCCCCCTTCCCTTTATATAAAGGGACTGTACATGCTCTCTGCCAGTCCCTAGGTACCTTCCCCTCTTTCATACATTTATTAAACAAAAATACCAACCACTCCAACACTATGTCCCCCCCTACTTTTAACATTTCTGTCATGATCCCGTTGGTTCGAGCTGCTTTACTCCCTTTCATTCTACATAATACCTCACGCACCTCCCCCACACTCACATCCTGCTCTTCTTCACTCCTAAAAGATGGTATACCTCCCTGGCTAGTGCATGAAATTACTGCCTCCCTTTCTTCATCGACATTTAAAAGTTCCTCAAAATATTCTCGCCATCTACCCAATACCTCCATCTCCCCATCTACTAATTCCCCTACTCTGTTTTTAACTGACAAATCCATTTGTTCCCTAGGCTTTCTTAACTTGTTTAACTCACTCTCATCCACTCTCCTTTTGCACTCTCTCACCACTCTCTTCATCTTTCTTTTACTCTCCATATACTCTACTCTTCTTATAACACTTCTGCTTTGTAAATACCTCTCATAAGCTACCTTTTTCTCTTTTATCAAGCCATTACGTAAGCCATCGTAATGGCTTGATAAAGCTCCTGGAGAGCGTAACATTGCCACAATAAAATGTCACACTAGTTACACTTGTGTCCTTTTACTTTACATACCTTCATTACGTGTTATATCATACCTTGTATATTTATTTATCCTCTTTTTCATAAAATATTTATTACTTATTACCAAACCTCTTTCTACACACGGCTCAATTAAAGGTTCCCCATTTTCATTTACCCCTGGCACCCCAAATTTACCTACTACTCCCTCCACAACATTTTTACCCACTTTAGCATTAAAATCCCCAACCACAAGTACTCTCATACTTGGTTCAAAACTCCACATGCATTCACTCAACATTTCCCAAAAATCTCTCTCTCTACTCTATACTTCTCTCTTTCCCAGGTGCATATACACTTACTATAACCCACTTCTCACAGCCAACCTTTATTTTACTCCACATAATCCTTGAATTAATACATTTGTAGTCCCTGTTTTCCTGCCATAGCTTATCCTTCAACATTATTGCTACTCCTTCTTTAGCTCTAACTATTTGAAACCCCTGACCTAATCCCATTTATTCCTCTCCACTGAGGAATTAATACATTTGTAGTCCCTATTTTCCTGCCATAGCTTACCCTTCAACATTATTGCTACTTCTTCTTTAGCTCTAACTCTATTTGAAACCCCTGACCTAATCCCATTTATTCCTCTCCACTGAAACTCACCCACCCCTTCAGGGGGTGGGTGCATTCCTCAAAATATTCTTACCATCTACCTAATACCTCCATCTCCCCATCTACTAACTCCCCTACTCTGTTTTTAACTGACAAATCCATACTTACCCTAGGCTTTCTTAACTTGTTTAACTCACTCCAAAATTTTTTCTTATTTTCATTAAAATTTCTTGACAGTGCCTCTCCCACTCTATCATCTGCTCTCCTTTTGCACTCTCTCACCACTCTCTTTACCTTTCTTTTACTCTCCATATACTCTGCTCTTCTTATAACACTTCTGCTTTGTAAAAACCTCTCATAAGCTACCTTTTTCTCTTTTATCACACCCTTTACTTCATCATTCCACCAATCACTCCTCTTTCCTCCTGCCCCCACCCTCCTATAACCACAAACTTCTGCCCCACATTCTAATACTGCATTTTTAAAACTATTCCAACCCTCTTCAACCCCCTCACTGCTATATGGGTTTTTATCCACCTATTGGCTTTTTGCTTTTTCCACCCAAAGAAGCAGCTCAAGAAATATATCATCCTGCCAGGTATCTGCATCACACATGATATCTTTACCATTGAAGACCAGATGGGCCAGTTTATTTTTTTACACAACAGTATGAGTTTGTCATTCTAAGCTTTTTAGCTGATGTTCCTCAACTAACTTGGTGAGTGAATACCATCTCTCTCTTCTTCTGTAACGTGGGGAAGTTGAAAACTCCAAAGTTGTATATGATGATTGTTTTCCATAAAATCTTGAATTAACCTATCAAATACAAATAATCTACAAATTTTAGATCAAACTAGATGTTTCAGGTTGTTCTTACCTATTACAATGTCAAACCAAAACATTGTTTAGTTTCTTCTCACTTAATGACGGAGTTCTGTTCCTAAGACCATGTCGTTAAACAAATTCGTCGCCAAGTGAGGAGCATACTATAATAGTAGTGAGTTTGTGTCAACCATCTTTGATATTGTTTTAATGTCACCTTTGCACCATTTATAACATTTCTGGTATATTTTTAAATGTTTATACAGTAGTGTACTGTATATTGAAATAAACAGTAGAAGAAATCAGCTCTAATATACATTATTTAGGTATGAATACTGGCCAGAGAGCTTGTTGTAAGTCTGAGGCATTGGTAAACAAGTACGTCACTAAGTGAAGAGAGGCTGTAATGATAATAGTTTCGTCTTAAATTTGTGAGTTAGTTATGGATTATTCCAGTGAGGCTGTTGTGATTTTTATTCATCTATGATAGAAAATTTAGTTTTGTATTTAGTAGCCAGTCTTTTAAGGAATGTGTAAGAAATTATACAGCCTCTTTTTTTATGTAAGGGGACATTAAAGTAGCTCTTCTTTTCCTCCCTTACCAGCTGCATTTTTAATAGTATTTTCCTATTTTGTGTAATCTTATCTATGGTCATCCATGCTTACATTTTGTGGACTCTTACATGAGCTATCTTGTCTACCATAATGCTGAGAAAACCTTGTTGGACCCAGTGTGACAGTGGAGGTAGTAGATGATGTGGAGGTATCAGTTGAACCTCTGGAGGCCATTGTTCCTCGCCCTGGACTGTCATGCAGATTTTCCTTCCATCCTACTCTCTTAGTGCTTGAAGGCTCTACTTTACATATGTCAGGCGTTACTGTGGATAATGTTGGATCTTGGTATGGAGCATTCCCATATCCTATTTTACCGCTGATACTGTTATGTCTAGTGCAACCTTTACCAATGGCTCTTGATCTTGCATAATAAATAGGAAATTCATGTGCACTTCCATAGACAATTCTATGAGGCTGTGGTCCCTGAAGTTGAGTGCTGCTGCAGTCACTATTTTGACAACAGATATCCGTTTGCATTTCCATAAAAGGGTGGGGGCTAATATTGTGCGTGCTGCTGGGGGTGTAGTTATGAGCTGAATGAGAGCGCTGGAGGCTGGTATTCTGCGATGTTTTCAGGCAACTTCTACGTGGCTGTAGGGTGACATATCCCAGAGGAACATCTGAAATCCATAGTTTATTGAACCATAAAATCTGTTACAAATTTAAAAGGTATTATTGAAGTATTCTGGAAGAGTAGCTAAAATATTTTTTAAGCAAAATCTGATATTAAAAAATCTCAACATGCAGTACATTTTGCATATATGTGATATCACCTCTTAAGATTTATACATAAGAACATTCCCTTTCAAGGGAAGTTTCTTGATTCTTGTGAGGGGCTCTTGATCCAAGGAATTATGCTTGTCTTCCTCCTTCCATTCCCCAGGTGATGTATGACCCCTTTATAATATAATAATATCATGACTCATGAAATTGTAATAACACAATTGTAAACAAACCATGAAACGGGTTGGGTTAGCACCCATGGCGAATGAGTCGTAAAACTTACATTTGTGGTCACAGTGGGGGTCATGCTAACCTCTGTATGGTGTGTACAAATATACCTACTTGAATGAATCTTATTGTAGGGAGCTGGCCCAGTGGGTTATACAATGGCCTGGAGTTTTATACTACTTGCCTTGGGCTCAAACCCCACCCGTTTTGTGGTTAATAATAATATACAAGAATATTACCTTTTTTATAAAGACCTTATGAAAAGTCTGCATATATAACCTGACTTCCAGATATTAATGCTATATAATCCATATGGGTTTAGTGCTTGTTTTTTAATATAATTAATATAACTTACCAAAGCAGAAAATATATCTTATTATATAAGTAAGAGTCTAAAAATCTTTGACTCCCATACAACTAGGTTCTCGATTTCATGATTACCTGTTTGTCACTGAATATTCAACTTAGTTGTATTACAAAAAGGAAATCTATTCACCTGTAATTAATGACTGTCTACAGGTGACATCACAGCATCCTGGGCTAGATGTTGATAGCTGAGAGGGATTCAAACTGGAATGTAATGTTGACATATGTGCTTGACTAGGTGGTGATGATTGTGAATGCTTGCAATATGGCAAGCTTTGTTGATATTGGTTATGTTGCTCTTGCTCTAACTGCTGCTGGATGTGAGGTTGGCCATGATATATAACTTGTGTGGTTTGTCTTGGTGGTTGACAGGGAGAAGAGAGCGTTGCATGCATGTGTTTTGGTGAGAAGCCATACGAATCACTGCTTCGCTCAGATGATACAGACCTTTCATCATCTTCTGAAAAAGATTTAAGCAATTCTTTCTTTTGATGTGAAGAATGATGACTGTTGGAGGTCATTGGGCATACATCTGGTTTCAAGGAAGGGCCTGTTGTGCCAATTTCTGTTAAAATTAGTTTTTCTTGCTTTCGGGGACTTGTAGAAGCAAGGATGCTAACTGTGCTTTGGAGAGGTAATTCGCTCTTTTCAGGAGGAATTCTATCACTCTGAACATTAATTCCTCCATTCAGTAGGGGACTTTTGGTTCTAGTACTGGGATTGGTACTTTTCAGTGAATGTGGTGTGGCATGTGGTTCCGGACATTCTGTGATGTGTGGAGCAGTGAGACTGGATTGATCACTTTCATCCACTCTTGTCTGACACTCGAGTGACTGAAAAATAAGCATACTCTATGTCAGGGGAAGTTTATGAAGAACTTTCTGGAAGAGTTACTGCATATTATGTGGCTTGTCTGGAATTTGGTGATTTTGTGTCAAAAGGGTTACTTGACAACACTTGGAAAATAGCACACATTGTGACACTTTCAAAGGTATTCAAATTATAGGCCTCTTTCACTGTCAAGCATTATTTTAAAAGTTCTGGAAAAAGATATTAGGATAAAATACTGTTCTTTATGGCCATAGACATATATGAATTATTCAGTTGATTTTTTCAGGCTTATAATTGAGCAATATTAAAAGTTTATTGCTTTGAAATCATGTCTTACCTTGTACTCAGGAGGAGGGACATCACTCATTGATGTAAGGGGCAGTTCATCACAGTGGCCAGCATCTCCAAAAGTGGGTGTGTATATGTCTAAAGTAGTCATCTTGCTTGAAGATGCTAAGATAATTTAATACACATTTATATAGTGTATGGAATTGTTTGTAAGGCATATACTTTAATGCGTTGCATCTCTTAAGAGATGGAGAATGATCATAATATTATTTATGAATAATGAAGGTGAGTCTTTGAAATAAATGAAAATATAATGCTGGAGTTTAGAAGATTATTTGTTTATGCATAAACATTGTTAATTATGAATATAAGGTTTTAATAGCAATTCTGAGCTTCTTATTTTATAAATATAATGTGTTCTACACTAGTGTCACAACTGGGTTAGATAACCAAGGACTGAGTTTGGTGCATTGGAAAAATGTCTCATTATTTTGTCAGCTCGAAGTTTCACTTTGGCAACTGAACTGCTGAAAGTTAGGTTATTATATTAGAATTTCTATTAACTTTTACTTACCAGAGTAAAAAGCACTTGTGTGTATAGCATCATACGTAACTACTCTTCCAGGCAACTCGGTCTTTTTTGTTTCAGAAGCAGAAATGCACCACATACATTATTCTCATACACCATTCTCCACCACAATCAGATCTTGCACTTTTAAATCACTTTTGGACAAAATCTTATACATTTTCATTTCAAAGGAAATTTAGTTTTTGTACATAAATCATTACTGGCTCACTGTTGCAATAGCAGGTAATAACAGTCAGTCTACCACTTTCATTCACTTACTTTCCCAAGTTATCCCTTTCGAGTTGCACACAGCCATACGTACCCGCAATACTCATGATAGGCAGTTGCGGGTACACCGCCTACGTCCGAGACCAGTCCTCCAAGTTCTGAATTACCTGATATATTTCTTTTTATCGCTCGGTGTCTCAGAAAGCAAACAATTATTGAGATATTGAGGACAAGAAGGGCAGTTCCAGTGAGAGAGATGAGAAGCAGGATCAAGCGAGGTACTCGTGGCTGCTGACTGTCCACAGTACTGCCGCTGGCCACTTCCTCCATCATGCCTGAGGGAGGGCACAGAAAAATAGAGATATTATATAATGGAAAGTTTACACGACTTCACTTTTAACATGTAATAAAGGTGTTGAGCAAATGATGGCAATGAAGCACTTAGAAAATATCAAGTACATAATTCAAGTGTTTAATAGAAATGAAAGAAATGCTAATGGAGTAATAGAAGAGTCAGTGTACAAAGATCAGGACTCTCCAAGGGACATGCATTGTTGTTAGTGAAGGCCTTTTGATCCAAAGAACTGGAGCTACTCTCCCTTTCCTTGGACCAAATCTGATTGCCTTTCCTCATGGTACTGTATATGGCCCCTGTGGGTTTAGTACTTTCCCCATTCCTCCAATAAAATAAAATATACAAATATCAAAAAGATGATAAACATCAAATAACAAAATAATGGTAGTACAGTACAGTACTGCATAACTAAATGTCAAGTAAGGAAACTTTCCCTCAAGGGAGGTCCCACAGTGCTGTGTGGGGCTCTTGATTCAAGGAATTGGACTTTGTCTCCACTTTGTTGGATCAAACATGATTACTCCCCCATTCTCCAGGTGCTGCATGATTCCTATGGGTTTACAGCATCCTCCTAAACATGGTAAAAAACAAAACAAAACTGTTTACTAGATAAATTTTGCACCTCAGCCATCCTCCATCAAAGATTATGTGAATTATTTTATTTACATTACTCATGCATCAGCTGTCATGTGCAGACATCACATTATATAAAGAAAGGGGATTTATACCAAGGAATGCTTTTTTTATATAAAATGAATCTCTTCAAAGGGATTTCCTTGCTGTTAGCAAGGGGAGGCTCATGATCCAAGGAATTGAAACCTCTCCCTCGGACTGCCTTGTGGGGAGGAGTATTGAGGAAGATCATGCAGATATTTAAGTTCTATGAAAGACGAAGTGAACATTAGAAACACGAAGGGAAAGATGTAGCATGTGGTATGACGAGGCTTTATTGGAAAGAAAGAAGTTTATTAGAGGCAAAAACGAGGAATCATGTATTAATGTTGGTAGAATTACCGATAAGAGGAATCGTCTCAAAACTGCTAATTCTCTGAATGACCCTTGTGGGTTTAGTGCTTAGTTCTCATTGAAATGCTACTAATACTATTTATTGTCTTCGGTCTGAAGAATCCTGGTTTGCAGGTGTAATGTTTTGTCAATAAAGATACCAAAGTGTTGCAGATGGGTCCTTATTATCTTGATGGTATTGTAGACAACCAATAGTTTGTTTTGTGCTTTTGAGTGTGAATCAAATGGGATTGTACATAGTTAATGATAAACTTTATTTCTATAAGAAATGATTCCCCCTCAAGGGAGGTTCCTTGATGCTGGTGAGGGGCTCTTGATCTAGGGAATTGAATCTGTGCTCCAGTTCCCTGAATAAAGCCTGAATACCTACTATCATCCCCACCACAGGTGCTGTATAATCCTATGGGTTTAGCACTTCCTCATGAGTATAATAAAAAATGGCTTATAATTGGGAAGGAAAAGGCAATAATACTGACATACTTAAAATAAAGCCCCTGGTTTTATAGATCATTTTGGGCAACCTTAACTTATAATTACTTAAGGATAGTATTTGTTTTTCATAATCATTACTCGTCAATGTATACTTACTTAAAACCAACATCTGTCCTTACCAGGTATAGTTATTGCTGTGGGTGGTGAGCTGTAGTCTGAGTAGCCTTTATCATTATAAGCTGAAATGCTGAAGGAATACTCAGTGCCAGGAATTAGACCTCTGATGGTGGTAGTTGATGAGTTGCTTCCGGGAATATCCACAAGCTGGCAATGAATGAGACAGGAAATAGTAATAATCTTATACTATATTTAAACAAAATAATAATAGATACTGTACACAAAGTGAGTATGTGTGTGTGTGTGTGTATGTGTTCACCTAATTGTACTCATCTAATTGTGGTTGCAGGGGTCGAGACTCAGCTCCTGGCCCTGCCTCTTCACTGACCGCTACTAGGTCCTCTCTCTCTCTGCTCCCTGAGAGTTATCATACCTCGCCTTAAAGCTATGTATAGTTCCTGCCTCCACTACATCACTTGCTAGACTATTTCATTTCCTGGCAACTCTATGACTGAAGAAATACTTCCTAACATCCCTTTGACTCGTCTGAGTCTTCAACTTCCAATTGTGACCCCTTGTTTCTGTGTCCCCTCTCTGGAACATCTTGTCTCTGTTCACCTTATCTAGTCCACGCAGTATTTTGTATATCAATATCATGTCCCCCCCTAACCCTCCTGTCTTCCAGAGTCGTCAGGCCGATTTCCCTTAACCTTTCTTCGTATGACATTCCCCTTAGCACCGGAACTAGCCTTGTTGCAAACCTTTGCGCTTTCTGTAATTTCTTGTGTTGTGTTGTGTGTGTTGTGTGTGTTGTGTGTTGTGATGTGTGTGGTGTGTGGTGTACTCGCCTAGTTGAGATTGCAGGGGTCGAGTCATAGCTCCTGGCCCTGAAAAGATTTATGCCAACAGCATTTGGTGTTCCCAGGCGGTCACCCATCCAAGTACTAACCAAACCCAACGTTGCTTAACTTCGCTGATTGGACGAGAAGCGGTGCGTTCAACGTGTGTGTGTGTGTGTGTGTGTGTGTGTGTGGTGTGTGTTGTGTGTGTGTGTGTGTGTGTGTGTGTGTGTGTGTTAGCACTTACTTCATATTCATAGGCACCAGTAGCCTGGTACTTTATTTTGAAGCCAGTAGGTTGTGCTCCAAGGTTTTCACTCATCCACGTCACGACGGCAGTGTTGGTAGACACAGTTGTGATCTGCCATTAAAATTATCAAGAAATTTAAAACTTTATATTTCGTCATAAATTTTTATTATTATAATTATGGGGAAGAGCTAAACCCATAGGATTATACAGTGCATGTGGGGGGGGGGACAGAAGGCATTCAGGCCCAATTCAGAAAACTGGAGCACAGATCCAATTCCCTAGATCAAGAGCCCTTCACCAGCATCAAGGAACCTCCCTTGAAGGGATTGTGTCACAAAGAAAAAGTTTTACCCAATTACTTAGCTTAATCCCCCCCATCCACTGATTAGTGGAAGGAGGATTTAATCCCCCATCCGCTGATTAGCGGAAGGAGGATCAAGCCTCCACCACTCACTGGGCTGAATAATTCATAAGGGTTTAACACTTTATGTAACTAAATCAATTTGGTCTGGCTTTTTATTGTGCTTTGCAATGCCAATTAATTTTTTAATAAAATGAGGTATCAAACTTCCCCTTCTTAAGCACTAAGGAATTGGAGTGTTAAGTTGAAAATTAAATTGATCCTCACATCGTCACAAAAATAACCCATAAAGTTTTTTCACAATTCCTTTGAGCAATAAGAAGTTTAGATTTTCATTTTCATTTAACAGGTCACAACAAAATCAGAAATAAAGCTTAATTCAATTATATTTTTTTACAAGGCTATGCTCGAGTACACTTTTTGGGATAGTAGACTAATAGATGTTTTATAAAGATAAGAGCGAGACAAATCTCTCTAGAAACGACTGGCTGGACACGCCACTTCACCAGTAAACTCTACGGATGTCACAACCCTAGTTTCAATTACTTATTTTCCAGGTTTACATTCAATTCAATTCAATTCAATTCAAAGTTTATTCTCTATAAGGATTACAATGCTGAGTTTACAGAAATTTGGTTATTGTTTGGTTTACATGTAGTAAAATTGTGATTACCTCATAATTTGTAAAATATTACAAATTATGAGGTAAGTTGGTATTATGGCTAAGTGACTAAATACTAGTTTGTGAGTCTAGCAATGTGAATGCTTTTGTTTTGGCACAGTACATAGTTTCAGCATTGGAGTATCACAGGATTCATTATTTTAAGACTGAGATTAATATTTCTGTTTATGGTCAAATGAGTGAGTGAGTGTAAGTGTGAACCACCAGGTGGTATTCGTGTAGTTAGTTGACGGGGTGTATCAGGGAGATAAGATGTTTTCTAATGGTAGTTTTGAAGGTGATGAATGTGTCTACTTGACTGGGTTGAATTCTGGATCCTAGGCTTCTGGAAGGTGTTGATTTACAGCTCCTGTGCCCCCTCCAGGGTGTTTATTTGCATATTTTGAGGGTGTTAAGCTATAAGTGCTAGGTTTCTTGAGTGCTGAGCTAAAGATCCTCTTGAGAGAGTTCACTTCTCTCTCCAAGGTATCTTACAAGAGTTGAGCTGCAGCTCCTCTGCCTCTAAAAGATTTTGATCTACAGCGAGGAACTTTTGATCAAAAGGAATTAGACATGACCTTCCTTTCCTCGAATTAAACCTGACTGCCTCCCGTTACTAATTTAGCGTCTCCCAGCTCACATAACATTACTCCCAGCAGTACTTACATTGAAGAATCTTGGAGGAGACGGAACCACAGGAGAACTGAGAGTGAAGATCACAGTGTAGGAGCCGCGGGAGTTGTGTGCGGTACAGCTGTAGTTGGTGTAGTCGTAGATGTTGATGTCTCTCATCTCCAGCATTGATGACCACTCAATCACTCGGTCCGTCAACTGGTAACAATCAAAGTTATTGTGATTATAATTGGCAGGGTTTATTAGGTTTTAAATTCTATTGATTATATATATATATATATATATATATATATATATATATATATATATATATATATATATATATATATATATATAATATATATATATATTACTATATTTATTTTCCAGAGCATCTGCATACAAATTCTATTATATTATTTTATATTTTAAATGCACTAAACATTTCCTTAAAGCCTTAACATTCATCATTCTGGCCAATGTTTGGTGAGTATTAGTGTAGGAGTATGTAACGTCTATGTTAAATTGTTTAATATATACTTTTAGCAGGAGCATTTCTCACATGAAACCATAACCTCTTTTAAAAGCGGTTCTTTTAAAGGAACACGAAAGCCAACCCTCAGCGTTCAACGGGACCTGTGTATATATATGAAAGAGTTCAGTTTAACCTGCGGGACGTGGATGGAATACTTTTTGTTGTTAGAAAGCACTTGTCCTTCACTGGTGGCCCATCTGAAGATTGGTGCTGGTGCTGCTCTCACACGACAGTCCAGGCGTGCTGTAGCTCCCACTGCTGCTCTGGATGGCCCTACCACTTCTTCAGTATTCTCAGGCGCTTCTGTTAAGTGATGACAGCAAGTTGCAAGTTATCTGAGATACCTGTAAAGATATATCCTAGGAAACATTGCTTTATTGTGATCCCGTGTTATTTAAATGGGGTGTGAAGTGTAGCTGGGAAAGGCCAGTGGATGCTGACCAACTGACTGGTTAACACCCATATCAGGTGATGGTGTTGTTTCCTAACAAATAATCCAGTCATAAGAAGGTGATCGATAAGAGTCTTGAATCAACTATAGTTCCTCCTAAAACCTTCAGTGGTCATCAAATAATCAATACAAAAGTTTTCAGTTAATTGTTAAATTATCTATCTTGTCAGTGCTCAGTCCCACTGCAAATTATGATCTCCAAGGGAATTTATGTTTTAATTTTGGAATTACGCTATTGATTTTGGTTGTATTAAGTTCGTTCTACACCATAATGATAAAGGGGGCTAAAAACTGCCTACAAAACGGCTAATGTTCAGACATTTGTACAAATAATTAGTAATTAACTTATTACGTCACTAAATTCTCATGATATCTTCATCGATGCACAAATACTGAATCAATAATGAATCTTTTTGTGAATATTTTTTATTTCTATTTCCATTTACTGGCTGATGAGAAGGTAACTCACGCGTGACCACAACAGCAGTGGAGGCAGGAGGTGAGGAGGACACAACATTGGAGGCATAACACAAGTAGATGCCTGTGTCATCTCGCGATGCCCACTCTATCACTAGACGAGCTTCGCCCATGCCCGTGGCAAGTAAGGTCGCTGAGCTGTGGTTACAACAACCACTGTGAGTCTCCAAAATTCTACACAAACCACTGCTAATGTGGCAGAATGAAACACGAATTTATCTTTGTCTAATCATTGTCGGGTATAACTATGCCGTTTTCACCAAGATACACATGTCTACCTAAAGTATATACACGGCAAGATGTTCTTAATATTTCTGTTATATAAAGTATTGTGGTATGAGAATAAGCCAGTGTACATATAAACGTTCAGATCCTAGTTTTCCCGTATTCATTTACTAAAAGCAACAGATTAGATCAGTGATTCAATATCTGAGACACATCTGGTGTTGTCAGTTGCATCCTGTACAGGTGAAAGCAGCTCACCTGGTGTTATCAACATCTCTGGTCCAGGTGATGTTAGGTGTTGGGTTGCCAGTTGCTGAGCATAATATTGTGGCAGCTCCATCCTCATCTACCACCACTCGCTCGGCTGCCATCACATCCTCTGGTCCATCTATTGACCACATCCACACACTCAGTCATCTCACTATGCACATAATTCTTTATATTTGTCATTGGTCTCAGTCATAAGAAAACAGTTACTTTATATGCAAGATTTAACTTTAAATTGCGCCTTATATTTCTGTTACTCTGTATGACTCAAACTATATGATTAATTTGTGAACACGACTACTACTACTACTACTACTATAATAATAATAATAATAATAAGGGAGCAACTTAAATATATTAAAGCATATTAATCAGGAAATCCTGCGACTACAATATGCAAATAATGGAGTTAATTCAAACCATACCACAGGTGGGGATAGAACCCGCGATCAGAATCATAAAACTCCAGACCGACACGCTAGTTGCTGGGCCAGCTGTCTTCTATCCATGCCCGTGGTATGATTTGTTTGCAATCGTGTCATTACGAGTTAATTCAAAGCTTGGAACACTCTCTGCCATTACTACTATCACCATAAAATATAAACATGTGAAGACGGACACAAGACGTTGATGGTGAAGGATGAGTTGAGAGCAGAGTTGTTAGCTCGAGCGACCACCGTGTAGTTGCCAGCCTGGTGACGGTGTACCTTCCTTAGTCGTAGTTCCCCGCTGTCTCCACCCTGGTCCTCAGTCTCCACTGCCCCGGGACCACGCCACCAGCTGTACCTGTGCACCTTTTGTTATTTAACCTGCTATGCTCATTAATAAAGTCGTGTTGAAGCCATATGTATATATTTTAGGAAGCTTTGAAAACCCAGACGAGAGCTTCCACCCACCCCTCCCATCCTGTGTGAATCACGGCAGCCACAACGAAGAGTTGAATTTAAACCACTTTTGTGTTGAATGACTAGTGGAACCTTAACTAGTCTCATAACTTTAGTGTTTCTTAAAGTATACAGTTTTATACAATTCTTCTTCACAATAAAAACTTATATAAGTGATAGATGACAGGTCTCAGGTTTCTAGTGTTTACTGATAGAAGCAATGACCTGTCATGTCAGGAGGAGAGGCACAAATCAGAACCTGTTCATTATTGTGTAGCACTCCTCTTAAATTTCATGAGTTATGTGACGTTCAGGTTATCATCTATTATAATGCAGAGGAGCTATGTAGTACACAAGATATAAAAGAATTATACCAGGCGTCACTACGTGACAAACAGCACTCTCGTAAAACACCATTCAGTGCTCAGGACACATAATTTTAACTTTCTCTCTACTTATTACCTTTCTTACTGATCTATCCTTCCCCATTCCACCCCCTCCCCATGATTCCCATCCTTGAAATGACCTAACCAATAAGAATATGTTTAAGTCCTGCTAATACCTTAGACTATCAAAAGAAAGGGCAAATAGGGTGCAAACTAACATAATTATCTAAGCACGCTGAGGAAAATGAGCGACTATAATCAAAATAAGGAAAGTGAGCATTCATTATTTAAACAAATATTGAGAAATTATATACACGGTCTCCTGAACTTGGCCTCTGATAACCTTCCACTTCGACTGCTGACTAATATTAGATTTGACAAAACCTTCTTCTTGTGTAGTTACAGTTCTCCTTCCTATGTACGTTTTAAAAAATGTGAATTTAAAAGTAAACATCAGGTTTGTGTGAGGTAGTGTCGAAGGAGTGATGTCTTACCTGACGGGTCCAGGGTTGGCAGTTGCCTGGGCGCTCAGTGTGAGATTGGCACCCTCAAGTACGTCCAGCACCCCTGACGGAGCCAATACCCACATCGCCCCGTCTGCAGCCAAATAATTACATCGTTAGAACATAAGGTTGGTATATATGGTAATATAAAAGGTTAGTGCACCTAGATAATACCTACGATTGATGTATGATAGTACAATCATGCACATAACGAATATATATGTGGGTAGTAGGTGCGGATGGTTTAGGTACATTATACCTCTGTACATTATTTGGTGCTTGTCTGTTTAGTATTGAACTATTAATGTTTAGATTGAGATTATTATTTTAGCAAAGAAACTACATGATTAGCCCAGTGTTGGATTATAAACAGTTATCAAAATTACATTAGTTATATTTTATACTGTTACTTTTAATTATCATGCAGACTATATGTATATGTGAAAGATGCATATATTCAATAAAAATAAGTGTTTTTTTATGCATTGTTTTAACAAATCCTTAGACTATTGATTAGAAAAAAAGATTTTCTGTTTATACCCTGGAGACGACATGTCTGCATCATGCCCTACTGTACTAAACTTATTTAGGCACAGGTACACAGAAGTACAATTATCGTGCCTAGTAACGTATTTGTAAATTGTCAAGGGTAACCCCCCAAAAAACTAAAGTGATTTATTTTCTCTGGGGTCCTTTGGAAGGACAAGCAAGCATGTAATACAGTCACAGTGCCAAGATCAAGGACAGCAACACTTAATCTGAGAGAACATTTAAAAGAAGGGCTGAGGGAGCAGCACAGAGAAAGGGAGCTGAGTGTGCAACACATAAGCAGTACGAGAGCTGAGAAAAATTTAGACAAAAGATAGATAAGCTAGAAACATTTATGTAATTTGAGAAAGAAATAGCTGAGTAAAAAGCCGGGAGCAATAAGAGGCGAGGCAGAAACGGAAACAGGGAGAAACAGGAGCTGGGAACTGGAGGAGAGCACATAATAGGAGTTCAGAGAAGATCAAGAAGACGTGAAAGAGAGCAACACAGACGCAAGACGTTGAGTGTGATGTTGTTAGAGACGGCGGCTCCTAAGCCGTTGTCCGCCTCGCAGCTGAAGGTTCTTCCGTTGTCCTCAGCGGCTGTCCGCACCCTCACCTCGGACCTGTAGGACACAGGAAGCTGCGGTTAACACAACAGAGGAAGCTGCGGTTAGCACAACAGAGGAAGCTGCGGTTAACACAACAGAGGAAGCTGCGGTTAACACAACAGAAGAAGCTGCGGTTAAAGAGGGCATAGGAAGCTACACCTCAACACGGTGTAGGAAGGTGACATTAACCAAGGGAGAAGATCAGAAAAAAAAACTTGATATTTCGGTCCATCCTGAACCGTTTTCAAGTCGTGAATAAATAAACAAATAAATAAATAAAAATAAATGAAAACCAGTGGTGGGAGATGAAAAAACAACAAAGATTAAGTCAAGTAATATGTGTGATGAAGATGAAAGGGTTTGGCAGTTTACTAGAACTAAGAGAGACAAGCATCAACAGAAACGAAGCTGATATTAATATTTTTGTCAGAGATGTGTGCACATAACTGCTAAGTTAACAAGACTGTGTGAAGACTCAACAGAAATAAAGCCAGGTTTGGAAGGTGATCAGCTTGCGGACTGGCAAAGGTCTCTCCCCTCTCAAGAAGGGTGACTCCATGCTGAATAAAAGGTCGTGATTGTATTGATTGTATTGATTGTACTCTTCCCTGCCTTTGATCAAGCCTGAATGCCTACCATTACTCGCTGCTCTCCACTATGAGCATAGGATATTACCATGAAAATAGGGAAGACGAGACAATGAAGTGCAAAACAAAAAATAGGAACTTCAGAGTTGTAAAATGATAAAAGAGGCAGAGAGCGCGAAGAAAGAGAGAGAAGAACACGGTGAAAGTCAGATATATAATTTTGATAAGTTGTGATTAAAGACACATAAGCAAACACTTAGGATGTATATGGAGTGAACAAGGTCCGGGGACCTTCAGAGTCGGCAGACAGAGGATCAGAGAGGCAGAGTGCGCCAAGGATCAGAGAGGCAGAGTGCGCCAAGGATCAGAGAGGCAGAGTGCGCCAAGGATCAGAGAGGCAGAGTGCGCCAAGGATCAGAGAGGCAGAGTGCGCCAAGGATCAGAGAGGCAGAGTGCGCCAAGGATCAGAGAGGCAGAGTGCGCCAAGGATCAGAGAGGCAGAGTGCGCCAAGGATCAGAGAGGCAGAGTGCGCCAAGGATCAGAGAGGCAGAGTGCGCCAAGGATCAGAGAGGTAGAGTGCGCCAAGGATCAGAGAGGCAGAGTGCGCCAAGGATCAGAGATGGCAGAGTGCGCCAAGGATCAGGAGAGACAGAGTGCCAAGGATCATGAGGCAAGTGCGCCAAGATCAGAGGCAGAGTGCGCCAAGGAATCAATAGCCAGTTGCGCCAAGATAGAGAGGCAAGTGGCCAAGGATCGAGAGGCAGAGTCTCCACAGGATCAGAGAGGCAGAGTGCGCCAAGATCAGAAGGCAGTTCGCCAAGGATCAGAGAGCAATGGCAAGGATCAGAGATGCAGAGGTGCCAAGATCAGGATAACTAAAAACTAGTCTTTCATGCTGATGATAGAAAAGTAAGTATATAATTACCATTGTGCATAGGCGGCATATGATGCGGATGAAAAAAAGTCATTCACCACAGTGGAAATGAAGTAGAAACTAAATTCTGTTTTGGATAAAAACTTACTATAGTAAATGCATGAGGAATAATAGCAATAATAACAGAGTTGAAATAAATAATTATAAAGCAGATCATGTATGAGGATAATGATATCGTGAATGGAATTCGATCCAAGGAATGGTATACTTCCTCTTGTTGGATCAAAACCTGCTTACTCCATTTCCATGGCTGTTGGACTCTACTGATTTAGCTCCATGAATAATAATATAATAATATAATAATAATAATAATAATAAATATAATAATAATGCCAAAAAGTGGAACGTTTAAAAATATTTTCATGGCTCTACTGACGTCCTTCAGCTCAGGATAATACATTGCAGTAATTTGCATATGCAACCCATCTGTGTGATGCAACATGACAGGGGAAACTCTAACCACTTTTCTCTTCACTGGATCAGATCTAATTACCTTTTATTCGGTAAAAGCTCTATGGCTTCTACAGGTTTAAAGCTTTCCCAGGACTATGGTAATAATACTATCAGCCGTGGATAATTTAATCAGTATAAGGAGGATCAGGAGGGGCCAGGAGCTGTGAATCGACTCCTGCTACCACAACTAGATGAGTACACACACACACACACCATCAGGTGTACATATCCAGAGGCGTACAGCATATATCAAAGTACATCATATGTACAGTTTATATAAAAAAACTGCAATTATCTCTATTAAAGTCTTCTACAGCAACTGTTTATCCAGTCTGTGTTCCCAAGGCTCTGTCTATTCTGTCTGCGTTTATCCTGTTCGTTTTCCTTAGCCTGTGATTATCTACGTTCCTGAGACTGTTTATCCACTACATTTCTGATAGACTCTATCCATTATGTGATCCCGAGGCTCTGTGTACTACCCATCCTCTGCATTGAGGCTCTGTTTACTCAGTATTCCTGAGACTTTCTCCACTCTGGGTTCTGAAGTAAACTTTTGATTGCTTGAGAGCTGGGGCTGCTGGCTGTGTTCTCGTGTCTTGAACAAGTTTGCTACGGGAAATGGAAGTTGTCCCGTAAGTCAGGAATTATCAAGACACTGACACACGTAACATCATCACTCCTGATACCATTCGTCGTGTTCTTGTTGACTGGATATCTCTTCTACCTTCCTGGATCACTAGTAACTGTGCTCACCTTGACCGCGTTTTATGAGTAAAAGCCTTTTATTGTTGCCTTTTTTTCCCACTTGGTTCCAGACTCATGGAAAACTTTGTGTTTACTCAGTTATATTTGACAAAGTCCTTTATCCAGGGAAGAATAAAACAATACCGTGACTAGAACAATACACAAATAACCCTTATGTAGGAGAATGAAACATATGACGATGTTTCGGTCCGACTTCGACTATTAACTAGTCACCATTAACTAGTTAGTGGCCCAGTCCAGACAGAAACGTCGAAAAATTTCATTCTCCTATGCGAGGGTTATTTGTGTATTCTTTATCCAAGAAGTGAAGAGTTGCCATTCTCTTTCTCAGATCAAGCCCGACTGTCATTAGTTTTCATTACCTCCGACTCTACATGACCCTAACGGCTTTAGCACTCCTCTATGAATGTAACTGCAACAATGAACAACGGCAATCCAATTTCGCTCAACTCTCAAGGCGATACTGAATGATCCAGACTGACCTACCGTTATGTTGTGACTAATAATCTAACAAGCAAAATGACTGGTCAGTCTTACAACCTTCTGCTTACGTTCAGTATAGGTACGTGGAAGTACACGGACGTATATGGAAGTACATGACCATACATGGGAAAGACAGACAGCAGAGGACTTAGAGAGCCACAGCGAGGCTGTCTACTGAGAACTATCTACTTCTACCTGTATTAAGAACTTTCGTGTATTATTTAGGTGGGGGACTTGGAGACAGGAAAGTGAAATTATGTAGATAACCACAAACTTGAAGTAGATAACCACAATTTGCAAGTAGATAACCACAATTTGCAAGTAGATAACCACAATTTGCAAGTAGATAACCACAAACTTGAAGTAGATAACCACAACTTGAATGTAGATAACCACAATAGGTAACAGATTTCTTGCAGCTATATCCTCTGAATTATGTCGGAAACGATATTGGAAAAAAATTACACGTGGAAAATATTTTACGAATTATTAAAAGAATACATCGATGTACAATTAAAAAATATATATGTACATAAAAACGAAACTGAATATAAATGAGATGAGAGTTTAGATTTTTGAAGTTAAATTTTGTAGTTGTTAGTGAACCCCAACCCACCTGTTAGTGAACCCCAACCCACCTGTTAGTGAACCCCAACCCACCTGTTAGTGAACCCCAACCCACCTGTTAGTGAACCCCAACCCACCTGTTAGTGAACCCCAACCCACCTGTTAGTGAACCCCAACCCACCTGTTAGTGAACCCCAACCCACCTGTTAGTGAACCCCAACCCACCTGTTAGTGAACCCCAACCCACCTGTTAGTGAACCCCAACCCACCTTTAGTGAACCCCAACCCACCTGTTAGTGAACCCCAACCCACCTGTTAGTGAACCCCAACCCACCTGTTAGTGAACCCCAACCCACCTGTTAGTGAACCCCAACCCAGCTGTTAGTGAACCCAAACCCACCTGTTAGTGAACCCAAACCCACCTGTTAGTAAACCCAAACCCACCTGTTAGTGAACCCCAACCCACCTGTTAGTGAACCCCAACCCACCTGTTAGTGAACCCCAACCCACCTGTTAGTGAACCCCAACCCACCTGTTAGTGAACCCCAACCCACCTGTTAGTGAACCCCAACCCAGCTGTTAGTGAACCCAAACCCAGCTGTTAGTGAACCCAAACCCACCTGTTAGTGAACCCAAACCCACCTGTTAGTGAACCCAAACCCACCTGTTAGTGAACCCCAACCCACCTGTTAGTGAACCCCAACCCACCTGTTAGTGAACCCCAACCCACCTGTTAGTGAACCCCAACCCACCTGTTAGTGAACCCCAACCCACCTGTTAGTGAACCCAACCCCACCTGTTAGTGAACCCCAACCCACCTGTTAGTGAACCCCAACCCACCTGTTAGTGAACCCCAACCCACCTGTTAGTGAACCCAAACCCAGCTGTTAGTGAACCCAAACCCAGCTGTTAGTGAACCCAAACCCAGCTGTTAGTGAACCCAAACCCACCTGTTAGTGAACCCCAACCCACCTGTTAGTGAACCCCAACCCACCTGTTTAGTGAACCCCAACCCACCTGTTAGTGAACCCCACCCACCTGTTAGTGAACCCCAACCCACCTGTTAGTGAACCCCAACCCACCTGTTAGTGAACCCCAACCCACCTGTTAGTGAACCCCAACCCACCTGTTAGTGAACCCCAACCCACCTGTTAGTGAACCCCAACCCACCTGTTAGTGAACCCAAACCCACCTGTTAGTGAACCCAAACCCACCTGTTAGTGAACCCCAACCCACCTGTTAGTGAACCCCAACCCACCTGTTAGTGAACCCAAACCCACCTGTTAGTGAACCCAAACTTACCTGTTAGTGAACCCCAACCCACCTGTTAGTGAACCCCAACCCACCTGTTAGTGAACCCCAACCCACCTGTTAGTGAACCCCAACCCACCTGTTAGTGAACCCCAACCACCTGTTAGTGAACCCCAACCCACCTGTTAGTGAACCCCAACCCACCTGTTAGTGAACCCCAACCCACCTGTTAGTGAACCCCAACCCACCTGTTAGTGAACCCCAACCCACCTGTAGTGAACCCCAACCCACCTGTTAGTGAACCCAAACCCACCTTTTTATTTGAACCCAAACCCACTGTTAGTGAACCCAAACCCACCTGTTAGTGAACCCAAACCCACCTGTTAGTGAACCCAAACTTACCTGTTAGTGAACCCAAACCCAGCTGTTAGTGAAACCCAAACTCACCTGTTAGTGAACCCAAACCACCTGTTAGTGAAACCCAAACTTACCTGTTAGTGAACCCAAACCCACCTGTTAGTGAACCCAAACTTACCTGTTAGTGAACCCAAACCCAGCTGTTAGTGAACCCAAACTCACCTGTTAGTGAACCCAAACCCACCTGTTAGTGAACCCAAACCCAGATGTTAGTGAACCCTCAACCCACCTGTTAGTGAATCCAAACCCACCTGTTTATGATACCACAACCCACCTGTGAAGGATGGTTTTTCTATTTACCTGCGAAGGAGGTTCCACACCGCATCTGTTTAGGGTGCCACAACCCACCTGCTTAGGGTGCCACAACCCACCTTGTTGCGGTGCCGCCGAAGAGTCCGTGTGTGTGAGTGACGGTGGGGTGAGCCAAGTGAATGCCATGAGAGTGCCAAGTGATGGTGGAGGGAGGCACACTGGATGTTGTCTCACAGACAAGGATAGCCACCTGTCCAGCATCCACCTTACTGGGGTTCACCCAGCCAGACACTTCCCACGGTGCGACTGTGGAGACAACACTTGTGTGAAGCTAGGGAAGGTAGGGAGGAGGGAAAGAGGGATAGAAAGGAGGAGGGAGGGAGAAGAAGTGAAGGATGAGAGAAGAAAAAGAAGAGAACCCACTCTCCCTACCGTAAATTTCTCGAAAAGGCAGCAGTAACATAATACATAGGATCTGATGGAATTAAATCACTTCTGTGCAGTCGTGTAGGTTCCCATTCTATCAACATTAACTCCAATTCTATTACTAAGAGGATTCTTTAAGGTTTTTGTCAATACTTCATAGAGAAAGAGAAACAGTTTGCCTGCTTATAAAATTCTAGTAAATTATTTACTATTATTAATAACTGGAGGCTAATTCTATGTGTATATTAACACACAATAAATCATTCATTGTAGGAATGAAGCCAGAAGCTCCAGTGAAGTGTTTCTGGGAGACCAAACTACCAGGTGGGAGACCGCACAACCACCTGGGAGACCCAACTATCACCTGGGAGACCCAACTATCACCTGGGAGACCCAACTATCACCTGGGAGACCCAACTATCACCTGGGAGACCCAACTATCACCTGGGAGACCCAGCTATCACCTGGGAGACCCAGCTATCACCTGGGAGACCCAGCTATCACCTGGGAGACCCAACTATCACCTGGGAGACCCAGCTATCACCTGATAGACCCAACTATCACCTGTAGACCCAACTATCACCTGGTAGACCCAACTATCACCTGGAGACCCAACTATCCCTGGGAGACCACTATCACCTGGAGACCAACTATCACCTGGGAGACCCAACTATCACCTGGGAGACCCAACTATCACCTGGGAGACCCAACTATCACCTGGGAGACCCAACTATCACCTGGGAGACGCAACTATCACCTGGGAGACCCAGCTATCACTTGGGAGACCCAACTATCACCTGGGAGACCCAACTATCACCTGGGAGACCCAACTATCACCTGGGGACCCAACTTCACCTGGGAGACCAACTATCACCTGGAGACCCAACTATCACCTGGTAGACCCAACTATCACCTGGGAGACCCAACTATCACCTGGGAGACCCAACTATCACCTGGTAGACCCAACTATCACCTGGTAGACCCGACTATCACCTGGGAGACCCAACTATCACCTGGGAGACCCAACTATCACCTGGTAGACCCGACTATCACCTGGGAGACCCAACTATCACCTGGGAGACCCAACTATCACCTGGGAGACCGAACTATCACCTGGGAGACCCAACTATCACCTGGGAGACCCAACTATCACCTGGGAGACCCAACTATCACCTGGGAAACCCAACTATCACCTGGGAGACGCAACTATCACCTGGGAGACCCAGCTATCACTTGGGAGACCCAACTATCACCTGGGAGACCCAGCTATCACCTGGGAGACCCAACTATCACCTGGGAGACCCAACTATCACCTGGGAGACCCAACTATCACCTGGGAGATCACACAAACACCTGGGAGACCAAACCACCAGCCACTCTCATTTTTCCTTCTGTCTTTACTCAAAGTTCTGTTTGTATTCATTAGCGCGTTCGTTCGTTAGCTAATGAGCAGGTAAGATCTCAACTTCTCGCGGGACAGGAATGAGCTCAGCTCCCAACGTATCCCCGAGAGAGTTTAAGAGCTACGCTCAGAGCTCATCGGATGATCACAGTGCCTGAACTAAGTGTTCCAGATTGTACCAGGGAGGTTACGTTCACAGCACCAGGGCAGTGGAAGACCTGGTGAGGTTGTTCCAGTCAGGGAGGGACCACCTCAAGAAGAGACTGGGGACCCTCATCCTCAGTAAGATTATTCAGGTATACAAAAATCCAGTTACATAGATTATCATGGAAAACAACTGCGGGGGGAGTAGAATGTTGTTTTGGATCCTGTATCGCCTGGTTTGCGATATTTACTTAATAGATCATGCACAGCAGCATGTGTAAGAACGTAGGATAACCCAAAAAGTCAGAGTGACTTATTTCCATTGGGGTCCTTTGTTGTGTCCACCGGGTCCTCAGAGACGAGAATAAACTTACTTCAGGGAAAACTCAAGGTTCTCCCTAGAGATGTTTGAATATTTTCTTTTACTACTCCTTATATTCTATGTGAACTTTATAAACAAAATACATTAGCAAAAATACAATGGGAAAAAGAATATAACTGACATGTCAGGTCCTACATCTCAAATAGTACATTTCAAAATATGTATATATTAGTCTGAATGCTGGTGTTTAAAGGTACAAAAAATATATGGAATAAAAACCCTTAATATTTTACATTATTTTCACGTATTTTGAGTTTCTAAGGATTTTTCTAACTAGGTGAGTACAAATAGGAAGCGCGTCTGTCTGGCGCTCAGCAGACGGAGGATCAAGCCTCCACGTCATGCGCTGAATGATCCCCATGGATTTAGCGCTTAACATAAATTATAATATAAAAAAAAAATAAGGATTTTTCTTTTTTAGAAAATTTAAAGTTTCTTTCTAAAATATAGTTAGTTTCAAAAAGGATACTTAGAGAGAACTCACAGTTAAGGGAGATGGTGACGTGGGCGGCCATGGGCGTGCTGGTGGCCGGGTTGCTGACCTGACAGGTGACCTGTTGACCGTTGTCTGCAGGCATGACTTGGAAGACGGCTCTCGCCCGGGTCACACCGCCCTCAGTCACCTCCAACTCTGACCCCACCTTCTTACCTCCCTTGTATATCCTGAAACATTGTCATCTTTGGGAAGCTGGTGTGTAAGACACTCCAGTCCTGCTAGATGCAAGATTCTCAGAAAATTAAATACCCTAGTTCTGCTGGAAGTTCCATATATGAAGTTCCAGTTCTGCTGGAAGTCCAATATATGAGGTTCCAGTTCTGCTGAAGGTCCTATATATATATATATATATATATATATATATATATATATATATATATATATATATATATATATATATATATATATATTTCAACAAGTCGGTCGTCTCCCACCGAGGCAGGGTGACCCAAAAAAGAAAGAAAATCCCCAAAAAGAAAATACTTTCATCATCATTCAACACTTTCACCACACTCACACATTATCACTGCTTTTGCAGAGGTGCTCAGAATACAACAGTTTAGAAGCATATACGTATAAAGATACACAACATATCCCTCCAAACTGTTAATATCCCAAACCCCTCCTTTAAAGTGCAGGCATTGTACTTCCCATTTCCAGGACTCAAGTCCGACTATATGAAAATAACCGGTTTCCCTGAATCCCTTCACTAAATATTACCCTGCTCACACTCCAACAGATCGTCAGGTCCCAAGTATCATTCGTCTCCATTCACTCCTATCTAACACGCTCATGCACGCTATATATATATATATATATATATATATATATATATATATATATATATATATATATATATATATATATATATATATATGAAGCTACAGTTCTGCTAGAAGTTATATCCTGCATAAGAAGTTCCAGTTCTGCTGGAAGTCATCAAGATTTGGGTCAATGATTTTCCCTCACACAGCGCTGGATCCAACTGTGTTAAAAACCCACCATCAAGACCCCATCAAGACCTCATCAAGACCCCATCTAAAGAACCCAGCTCACATCTTCAGCCTCACTGATATATAATAAATAATTTATAAGATTCACAATTAAAGTATTTTCATATTTCGCCGATTTTTATTTCCCTGGTGGAACGAAGGTAAAAAATACACGAAGTTGAATATCTGAGGGAAAGTAGAGGTAGGTGGGAGGGTAGGTGAGGGGAAAGGAACCTAGGAAGGTTGGGAGGATAAGCACCTAGGAGGGGTGGGAGGATAAGCACCTAGGAGGGGTGGGAGGATAAGCACCTAGGAGGAGTGGGAGGATAGGCACCTAGGAGAGGTGGGAGGATAGGCACCTAGAAGAGGTGGGAGGATAGGCACCTAGGAGAGGTGGGAGGATAGGCACCTAGGAGAGGTGGGAGGATAGGCACCTAGGAGAGGTGAGAGGATAGGCACCTAGGAGAGGTGAGAGGATAGGCACCTAGGAGAGGTGAGAGGATAGGCACCTAGGAGGAGTGGGAGGATAGGCACCTAGGAGGAGTGGGAGGATAGGCACCTAGGAGGAGTGGGAGGATAGGCACCTTGGAGGGTGTGGAACTTAAGAGAGAAGTGAGGTAAGGAATGTGTAAGGGAACGAAGAAAGATGTGCGAGAGATAATGAGGAAGGTAACAGAGGAGAAACTTAACGAGGGTGTAAGAAAGATGGAGCAATTGAGAGAGGTGTTTGAATGAAGGGCGAGAGGAAGTGAAAGAGAGAAGAGGGAGGAAGAGAGAGAGAGAGAGAGAGAGAGAGAGAGAGAGAGGAGAGAGAGAGAGAGAGAGAAAATGAGTATTCAGATAACACCGAGGAAGTATGGGAGAGAGGGAAATGAGGGAGGGAGGAAGAACGGAAGAGATAACTGGTTATACAAGGTATGGTAATAAAAACAATAGACCAAAATTCACATGTCCATTTAAAACAATTAAAAGAATAATTTCGCCATGAGTGACTTTTTCATTGATAATGCAAAGACGACCAAGAAAGGAACATGTATAGTGTAGGGGGTAGAGGTGATATGAAGCGCGGGTAGCGAGTACTGGGTAGACTGGGTAGCATGAGATGGTGTTACGTGATGGCTGTGTCTAGGTGGCATAGCAAACTGCAGAAGCTGAAGCTGCCTAACTTTTGTTAACTGGTGTTTGAGATTGCTATAAAGGAAGCTTCTAAGCATTTTCGTTTGTGCAGGTCACGTTCCTGGATGACCAGTGTTCCTTGTTGCCTCTGTAGTGAGCCAAGACTTCAGAACGTGACGGCTGAAATCAAGCATATTTATGGACACCAATTCTCAGCTGGAGAAACCTTCCTTTTGCAATTATTACTTGTCACACCATAAATATATATTCTTCCTTCCTGGATATCTGTATTATGAATGAAGAAACCACTCATAGCGAAGTGTTGCCTTTAATAAATGTTGTAACAGTAAGTGTAATCTTCTAGAGTAGAGACAAAAGTGAGGTACCCACGTCAGCGCTGGAGGAGGGTTGCCACCTGTGGAGGTGCACACAACACTCAGCTGGTCGCCAGCCACCACCTGCCGCCCCTCCTTCATTTCTACTTCCACCACCGGCCACCCGGGACGCTCTGACCAAGAAATAAAAACAAACATAAAAACATAATTAAACATTCAAGTGAAGCTCTGAACTCGCGTCTTATTCAGTGCAGAGAGTTGTGAGGGGCTCGATTCTCCGTCTGCTGATTTTGAGGCAGACACACTACCTGGAGGCAGACACACTACCTAACTGTACTTACCGATCTGCGCTACGTGACAAATACAACCACTGAAAAATACACACACACACACACATATATATTATATATATATATATATATATATATATTATATATATATATATATATATATATATATATATAATATTATATATATATATTACATGCAGTACGCCAAGGGGGTGCGAAGAGCTTCGTACCACTGCAGTGGCTGCCGCTGTCAGATCTGCTTCTTGATGATGCAGCCTCCGTACATTGTCCTCTTTCCTTAACAAACTAGCATCATCTTATTTCACGAGATGCCTGTGTTGTGTATCACATGCGTTGCTGGGATTATGCTGGCTTCACGCATGGCTATTATTCCTTAATTTGTTGTTCCTGGAATCCAGCCAGTGCGTCTTCATGCACTGCCATTCACACCATGACACCGGGAACAAAACAGGCGTAATCATCGGCTTTTTTTCCCTTGAGAGCACACATGATTGCGAGCCCACGGTGGCTCGGAGATGAATGTGTCTATATTACACAAATATCCAGCCTCCTGCAATTCACTACCGCACTTCATCCGATCTCTATGGAGCTGAACTCCAGGCTGAGGGACTGACCCCCATCAAATACTTTTTCTCCAAGGTTGATAGACCGATTACATCATCTTTATTTCATTACTACTGCTCCCTTTATATTTGACTGAAGAAGTCTACTGTGTAGGCGAAACGTTTCATCAATAAAGATACGAACTGTTAGACATGTGTCTTAATTTTCAACTCGTCGGTATTGTATGTTATTTTCAACAGTTTTTACCCAGCTGGGCTGAGGATTTCACCAGTTGTTTGCTAGTCCACTCCAGGTTCCTCTTAGATATACTCCCCTCAGCATATGTTCACAACAATGTGAGGTTTAAGACATGCTCAAAGGCTTATGTAAGATAGATAAATTTCCAGAAAAATTCCTCATTGTGGCCGAGGATTCGAGCCCAAATGATACCTTTCTGACCTCCCAGCAGATCACTGTGTGATACTCACGACCACTGCACCAAAAACCTTTAATAATTAAACAAGCTTCTTGTGATCGTATTTGCTTGCATTGTTATTATTATTATAATCAAGGGGGAAGCGCTAAACCCGGAGGATTATACACCGCCTGGGGGGGGATGTTGAAGGCATTCAGGCTTAATTCGGGGAACTGGAGCACAGATCCAATTCCCTAAATCAAGAGCCCCTCACCAACAACAAGGAACCTTCTTTGAGGGGTATTTGCTTGCAACTCCTCTTTTCTGCAACACTGCACACTCCTGATGTGTTGAGTGCAACACGAAAGGCCTAGAGCTATCATTCAACTCCCCCCGCTTCCGTGGTTGTTTGCATCTTGTATCGCTTATTCACGATTTTTGCATTATATATATATATATATATTATATATATATATATATATATATATATATATATATATATATATATATATATATATATATATATATATATATATATATATATATATATATTTTAGAAAGACACGTAAGCAAACACTATAATATATTTATTAGAAAACGTTTCGGTCCTGGGACCTTGATCACTTCTAACGTCGGTATTTATTAAAAAGGTTTATACCATATATATATATATAATCTCATTTTTCGGGTTCCCTACATATGAAAATCGTTTTCATGCAGTGTCCCATTTATTTCAATAATTCCTTTTCTGGGATATAAATTCGTCGTTTGCGATTCCTAGAATGAAATGAAGATTCCGATAATGAGAAAATAAGTGTTGACCTGAGTGAGATTACCACAGCATCTGACGGGCCCTGGACTGCATCTACCGCATCAAGAGTGTATGTAAAGGAAACTGAACGTAGTATAGGTCAACAGACGAGCCCTGTGGATAGCGTGTTTAGAGGTGCGTCTAGTAGTGTTGGGTGCGCTAAAAGTGCGCTTCGATCCTCCCAGCTGCGTTCTAGCGCATCCTCATGCGTCCAGAGTAGCATCACTAACAGGAACTATACCATCAAGAGTCGTTGGCTTTTTATTTCGCCAGTGGTGTGGGTCGCTCAGGCTCGCACAGAAAAGAACTCAAAACTCTCCAGAACTTTCACATTAAAATGCTAAAAATCTTGAGGAAAAGTTTTCTGTGGCGGCTCCACGTTTACCCTCGTTAAATGTTACACCTCAGCAATTATGAAGCAAGATGTTTAGTTGTTTATGAAGTGAATGAGAAATTACTGTGGGCAAGACGACATTATTCTTAGTGTGTGTGTGTGTGTGTGTGTGTGTGTGTGTGTGTGTGTGTGTGTGTGTGTGTGTGTGTGTGTGTGTGTGTGTACTCACCTAATTGTGGTTGCAGGGGTAGATACTCAGCTCCTGGCCCCGCCTCTTCACTGATCGCTACTAGGTCCTCTCTCTCTCTCTCTCTCTGCTTCCTGAGCTTTGTCATACCTCGTCTTAAAGCTATGTATGGTTCCTGCCTCCACTACATCACTTGCTAGGCTATTCCACTTCCTGGCGACTCTGACTGAAGAAATACTTCCTAACATCCCTCTGACTCGTCTGAATCTTCAGCTTCCAATTGTGACCCCTTGTTTCTGTGTCCCCTCTCTGGAACAACCTGTCTCTGTCCACCTTATCTATTCCACGCAGTATTTTGTATGTCGTTATCATGTCTCCCCTGACCCTCCTGTCCTCCAATGTCGTCAGTCCGATTTCACTCTACCTTTCTTCGTAGGACATATCCCTGAGCTCCGGAACTAGCCTTGTTGCAAACCTTTGCACTTTCTCTAATTTCTTGACGTGCTTGACCAGGTGTGGGTTCCAAACTGGTGCTGCATACTCCAGTATGGGCCTGATGTACACAGTGTACAGTGTCTTACACGATTCCTTACTAAGGTATCGGAACGCTATTCTCAGGTTTGCCAGGCGCCCATGTGCTGCAGCAGTTATGTATGTGTGTGTGTGTGTGTGTGTGTGTGTGTGTGTGTGTGTGTGTGTGTGTGTGTGTGTGTGTGTGTTATACTAAATTTTATCGTAAAAACAGTTTTTGTTTACAACTGGTTAGGAACGACAGTCTTGAAGCCTTATATAAAAACACGGGTTCACCCGCTACAAACCATGGGTTCATCTTCCCAGAAAACTTCTCACGGGTGTCACACAACACGGGTTCATCCTCCCACACAACACGGGCTCAAGAGCGCCACAAATCCGGATTCACCAGCACCACAAGACATTGGAATTACTGTCACGATTCATCTATACACAATCTCTTCAAATCGAACTATATCAGAGAACGAATACACTAAAAAAAATCCTTTTCCACTGCGCATTCAACGGTAATCGAGGCTAAACGACGAGGGGAACTAAATTATACAACACTCTCGGTGTCTGGGATCCCTTGAGCGCCATGTGCTGATGTTGACAACTGCGATACGTCTCTTACCTCTTCCGGTATTGATGAAACACAACAATATGCTGCTGCTACGTTTATATTATTATTATTTACATTATTTCTTCCTTTATTGGTCTTAGGGGTCAGCGACCTACAAAGACGTTATTAGGTCAGGGACTCCTTCCCCGTTTTAATCTTCTAGAAATATTTTCACCCGACAACCAGGAGAGGAGGAAATATGTGTCTGCCTGCAAATGAATGGTATATAGTACCGATAAGATGAAAGATTAGACAAGTGTGCTCTTTACCAAATCCAAGGTTGAGGGAATGATTACCTCAATTTTTGTACGGTTCTACTGTCTTTACATTATGCCCTTGAATTTGCATTGCTAAAGCCACTGGATGGCGAAACGTCTACAGTAAAGATACCCAGATGTTGCACATGTGTCTAATTCTTCATTATGTTTACCTTACTTTAGAAGTACAACGTGTCAGTGTAGTGTGGAAGTGTGGAGCGTCAGTGTGGGTACAGGGGATCATCAGAATATAGAGTAGCCTAATGTTAGGCTATCCTTGCCAGGAATAAAAAGTGTGTATTGTCAATACGAGAGAGAGAGAGAGAGAGAGAGAGAGAGAGAGAGAGAGGAGAGAGAGAGAGAGAGAGAGAGAGAGAGAGAGAGAGAGAGAGAGGATCCTCAAAAAATAAGTGTTGGCGATGTTTGGGTCATCGTCATGTAGAAAATTTCTTCTATACATGGAAGGTGGTTCAGCTCAGGAGAGGACGACGAGGAAGGTCGTAAAGAGAACAGAAGGTAAAAGAAGGCGAGATGGAGAAGATTCTGTTGCAAAAATCATGTCAAAGGAAACTGCTGGACGGTGTAAGGTTAGAGATGCGTTAGGGAAAGTTACGATGGATGTGGGACAGCTGAACGTTCTCACAGCGATTAGCACAGTAGGAGGAAGACCAGTCCGCAGTGGAAGGTTTAAACTTATGGGAAATAGCCAGGTTGGTCCACTGATTTTTGCCTAAAGTGTAGATATATCTTTCCCAGAGAGAGCAATGGCGCCGGATCCCGGAGGACCAAGAATATCTCTTCGAGCTCCGAGGTCGACTTCACGAGAGTATCAGCCTTGTCATTGATTAAGTAACCAGATCAAGGTGATGAGCATGACACATGAGTTTGCTTTATTAACACTGTTACGCAAATATCTCATTTGAGTCTGACTCCATCCAGTATAGGTATGTCTTACATGGAATCAGGAAGCTAAAGAGTCTGTCCAATTTTTCAAATAGTGTAGAATCTGTGGTTTAGTCCATGGCAGAGTTCGGCAGAGAAGACCGATATAAGGTTTGGTACACGGAACCTGAGGGAACATTCGGTTGACCTTATACTAACATCCACACATTTCACTTGTCCTGAAGCCTTCAGGGTATAGGTGGACGCGAGTAACGTAGCGGACGAGAATTTTTCTAAAGAGCTGATGTACCACCTCCAGCTCAAATTTATTTTTGATTGTGAGCCACGACGTACACAGTGATTTTTGGAAGGCTCCCAAATCGCTCGCTCTCTTTTCTTTCACCAACTTGTCTACCTCAGTTCGATGCTGGACGCTTGACAAAGACTAGAGTCTGACTCCCAGGGGCCTGCAATGATTCCAAAGAGACTACTGACCGTGTTTAACCGGGCTACAGAGTGGATGGTTAATTGATGATTTCCTGGATGTTATATTGTGGAGGAGTATTAGATAGAATACTTTAATCATTAAATTAGATACAAAATAAACTAAAATCTCAGTAGTATATACACTGAAACATCTCTCAGCGCACCTACGTTCGAACAACATAGATAAATACCTCTTTGTGAAAGTGCACTGACCCACAGATCAAAAATACACATATATATATATATATATATATATATATATATATATATATATATATATATATATATATATATATATATATATATATATATAATATATATATATATATATATACTGAAATATGAGAACTGGTCTCATCCGCGGTTTCCAAAGATTATTGATGTTTTATCACGTATTCCAGATTTATTTGTTTACTTCCTGTGTAATCACAAACCACATTTAAAAGCGCCTTCCCTTAAAACTCTCTATGGGATCTGCTGCAACCACCCCTTTCCAGATTGCTCGACCTGGAAACCGTCTTCGAGGATGGAACGATCCCCAACAACCTGAATGGTCAGAGCCATTATAACAGGACTGAGAATCGATCCTTCACTACTAATTGTTCTAAATGGCACACACGAGGTTTAACGCTTCATTTAATACACCATTTCCAAAGAGTTCATGACCTCTCATTTTTTTTTTGTTTGACATCTCGAAGAGACTCGCAACTCAGTGGTAGAGCGTTCAGGGTCCAGTTGAAATAACCCAATTAGATTCTGGGAGGAGTGGAGACGCGGGACATGCTTCCTTACACCTGTTGTTCCTGGTCATTTAGCAATAAACAGGTAGTCTTCCCTTGAAGAGGGACTTACACTGTGGCGTATGGTGGGTTACTGTCACAGGGTTTGCGCTGTGCGTGATCCAACTAGCTGTGGGGTGTACAGTGCTGTCTCAGAACATCTGCCTCAGTATTGCATAACAGGGGACAGAAAAATTAGGTTCCCATTATGATCCATGATTGTATTATTGAGTGAGCTTAATATTCATGATGAATTTGTCATCTTTGGTGGGAGTGCGGTGCTCACCTAGCACACCCAGAATATACGTCACTGGAACAGGTGGAACAGATGTAAAGAAACTTAGCCATACGTCTCGCTCCGCCCGCGGACCAAACCCGGGTGTTTTCATTTGTGAGCCGAACGTTCAAAACACTAGCTTATAGAATTACCTGTATCAAACACTTACTGATGACGGTAATGTGGTGTGTGTGGTTGAGGATGTGGTGGGTGACCTGGTGTGTGGCCAGGCAGTCTGCTGTGGTCTGACTGACCTGGTGTGTGGTGGGCAGGTGGTGGGTGAGATGAGATGTGGTCACCCATCCACCATCTGGGTCTTCCGTCACCACACCCGCCCCTGAACCACCTATGTCTGACCCTGCAAAGGGAAACGGAAAATGGATGACATGATTTTTTCCTAGAGAATTATTTTGTTTCCAAGTATTTTATTTAGCTGAGTAAAGCCAGGATTATGACTTCTAGTTTAAGGAAGACAGCAAAGCCATAATTTCCAGCTTATGGAAGAGAACAAAGCCACAACTTCTGCTTTGCTGGAGGGAGACAGCCCATAATTCCGTTGCATTGGAAAGAGATAGTCCTTAACTCTGCTGCACTGGGAGCATAAAGTACCTAACCTCTGCTGCAGGTGAAGCAGACAACTGCCCACTTCTGCTGCAGGTGAAGCAGACAGGTGACCACTCGCCTTAAGACGATAGGTGAAGTTGGCAGGTGAAACGGGAAAGGAAATCAGTCACCTTAAAGAAGCCAGGTGAGGGGTGGCAGGTGAAATAAGTGACAGGTGAGGCGACACAAGAGATCACTCACCTTGAAGGCGCCAGGTGAGGCTGGCTGGAGGGTTGGCAGGTGAGGTGACGCAGGTGAGGGTGAACAGCTGGCCTGCCGCCACCACAGTTGGACCTGAGATGGTCACCCGTTCAGGGGAGTCTGCCAGGTGCAAATTGACGTTAATTTTGTAGGAACCGGAATGTTTAAGATGTACTAGTAAGTGTGTGTGTTAATTAATATTTTGTCATTAGACACTTGGCCTACTGTGTGTGTACTCACTTATTTGTGGTTGCAGGGGTCGAGTCATAGCTCCTGGCCCCGTCTCTTCACTGATCGCTACTAGGTCCTCTCACTACTCCATGAGCTTTATCAAACTTCGTCTAAAAACTGTGGTTCCTGCCTCCACCTGACCAGCCGGGCTGTGGTTCGTACGTTGGATTGCGTGCAGCCAGCAGTAGCAGCCTGGTTGATCAGACACTAATCCACCATGAGGCCTGGTCACAGACCGGGCCGCGGGGGCGTTGGCCCCCGGAATTCTCTCCAGGTAAACTACGTCACTTGCCAGACTTTCACTTCCTGACGACTCTATGACTAAAAAATACTTCCAAACAACATCTAAGTCTTCAACTTCCAACTGTGACCCCTTGTTTCTGTATCCCATCTGTGTGTGTGTGTGTGTGTGTGTGTGTGTGTGTGTGTGTGTGTGTCTGTGTTGTACAATTTTCCTGGAGACTTACAATGTACAGTGACCGGGGAGACTACAGTGTACAGTGACGGGGAGACTTACAGTGTACAGTGACAGGGGAGACTTACAATATACAGTGACGGGGAGACTTACAGTGTACAGTGAGAGTAACATTGGCAGTGAGAGGTCGCGGGAGGAGATCACTGGAGACGCGACACTCGTACACTGCTTCATCCTCTGCTCTAACAGCTCTGACCAGCTGCATCATGCTCACTACCCTCGATGGTCGTGTGCTGCTGCTGCTGCTGTCGTCAGCTGCGCTGTTGGGGCTGGTAGTTGTGGTAGTGGAGGTGGCGCTGGTGGTAGGCTGGTTCATCCTCACTAGGTGGGTGAGGGCCAGGTTGAGGGGCCGCCCGTGTCGATACCAGGTCACCCATGGGCGGGGCCGTCCACCCACCACCTGGCACACCAAGGTTCTCTGCTCCCCTTCCACCAGAACCTCACCTGTTGTGTACCCGCTGATGGCAGGTGGCCCAGGTGGGTCTGAAAAAAGGAGGCTAGATGGTGAGGTATTAAACAGGTGGCTCTGGTGAGTCTGAAAGGTGAGTCAGATGGTGAATTATCACTCAGGATTCTTCATTAAGCCAAAATAAGACTAAAACAAAGAAATTCAAGAAATTCATGTGTAAACAGTAGGTCTATGCACTATTCCTACTGTGAATATGAAAACGGTATACAGTACCGATAGGTTGAGAGGACAAGTGCAACAGTTAGGCATCTTCATTCCGAAACGTTTCGCCTACACAGTAGGCTTCTTCAGACGAGTACAGAAGAAGTAGCAGAAACAGTAGATGTGAAGACAATGTAATCAGTCCATCACCCTTGAAGACGTAGCTTTGAGGTGGTCAGTCCCTCAGCCTAGAGAAGAGTTGTGCTCCATAGTCTGAAACAATGTGAAGCTGAAGCAACAGTGTGGAGACTTATATACTGTCACAACTCTTTTCCAGGCTGAGGGACTGACCACCTCAAAGCTACGTCTTCAAGAGTGATGGACTGGTTACATCGTCTTCACATCTACTGCTTCTGCTAACTCTTCTGTATTCGCCTGAAGAAACCTACTGCCTGGGTGAAACGTTTCGGAATAAAGATACCTAACTGTTGCCTTTAGGTCTTACTTATCGACTAGGCCTAGTCTTTTTTTTTCAGTTTACAGTCATGGCTTCTTGTTGTTATTACTGATATTGCTAAGAAACCTTCTTTACCACGAGAGTTACAGTCCTCAAATTCCTCTCGATGTGTCCAACGCAGAGAAAAATATTAAAGACACTGCTTCCAAGGTAGTGACGCCGATCCCATTTTCTTGTAAAAACAAATCTTTGTTGTCCCGTTTTCGAAGATCTAGATTTCGTTTTCTAATATCTCGTTCCCATTTTCTAAAATTTTGTTTCCATTTTCAGTGATATTTTTTCCTAATTTGACTAGCTAGTTCATGCTTTCTATGATAGTTTTCTCATCTTCTCTGTTCCTTTCCCATTTTCAGAGATTTCGTTCCCATGTTCCAAGTTCTCTTTTCTCACTAGGATCTTCCCCCACCCCCCTCCTCCCATTTCCACATATTTCCCTATTTTCTCAAAATTTGTAAAATTTCTCTCGAGTCTGCATATTCAAAAATGTATGTTCCCCAAATTTTGGTTTTCCATTCAGCTTCCCAGCATAAATAGTATCTCCCGTGTAATTTCCCACAGTGTTCAGGGTGCCTTCAATCTTCCTTAAAGCAACCTGGCACTACCATTGCTTAAGTATACCCCTCTACCATGCATGTCCTACCACCACCCATGCATGTCCTACCACCACCCATGCATGTCCTACCACCACCCATGCATGTCCTACCACCATCCATGCATGTCCTACCACCACCCATGCATGTCCTACCACCCATGTATGTCCTACCACCACCCATGCATGTCCTACCACCATCCATGCATGTCCTACCACCACCCATGCATGTCCTACCACCACCCATGCATGTCCTACCACCATCCATGCATGTCCTACCACCACCCATGCATGTACTACCACCATCCATGCATGTCACATCATCGCTCAAGCATGTTTAGCCACACGTCAGCTTAGGTGAAGGTCATATCTGTTACTGTGACCTTTACCTTTTACTCCAGAGGGTAAAACACGAAGGCAGTAGTAAGATTTCCTCTGGTAGGAAAGCTGAGGTCTCGAACCTCCGAACAGCAATCAGGTGCTCACTATCACTCAACAGCTCAGCTTAGCAGTAGATATAAGTAAAAAAATCGGACTCGAGAACAGATTATTCCGATTATCTGTATTCGTAACATAATTATGACTCAATGTTTTAGATGTTATGTTAATCTCCAGGGTTTATTACCTGGACCTCAGCAAATTCAATGTTTTAGAGACGATGGTATATAGAGGAACCTCAAACACGTATTGTTAAATAGGTTTCCTTCAGGGGATACATTGGAATTTTCGTGTATTCGTTAAATTCTATGAGTAACATCACCACGGGTGTTCGTGCTCACGTCCTTGGAAAGGCCTGGAGATATCAATTTAGTTTAGGTTCTGATTAGCTGTTCGTCTGGGTTTGGCTTGAGCCTGGCGTCGAGTAGGTTTGAGAGCGACGTAAACACTTCCTAGTTAATGACATTTTCTGGCAGACTCAGGAAGTAGAGAGTTCTGGCGTCTCTCCCTGTCTCTCCAGGTCACGTCGACAGCAATACTGGGGCACTGTCTCTCCCTGTCTGTCTCAGGTTACGTCGACAGCAGTGTGATGGCATTGTCTCTCCCTGTCTCTAGATTACGTCGACAGCAGGTGTCTTTGTCTTCCAGTCTACCTTGGTTACTTTGACAGCATTGTGAAGGCTGTCTCTCTTGATTACCACAAACACACACACACACACGACAATATCAACATAGACGTTTAATTAATGCGAGAAAAACCTAGCTACCACTCTGGAATTTTGAGTGGTTGGCTGCCTCGGAGGAAGGTAAACTAGTGAACAAGTGGTAAACTAGAAACACTTAAAAGAACCTTAAGATTTGAAGACGGTGATATGAAGCGAAAATCTCCTCAGAACATTCGTCAGACCAAAACTAGAATATTCAGCCCAAGCTTCGTGGCCGAAGAAAAAAAAATGGAACCAGGATGGTGGGGTCATTTCCTTTTTTTTTTTTCTGTCAGGAGAAATGGTAAAGGTTCTCCTGACGAGGATCTTAAGTCACATGATGGCCATTTAACTGTATGAACAGTTAAGCCATTTCCTGGCTTAACTGTAGGAGTACAGGTGTTACAACAACTGAAGGAAGAAGTACAGGTGTTACAAATGAAGGAAGAAGTACAGGTGTTACAACCACTGAAGACGGAAGCACAGGTGTAACAACCACTGAAGGTGTCTGCACAGTAGTAAGCAAATCACCGAGGTGCACAGCATGTCAAAAATAACCAAAACGGCATTCAGGAACCTTAACAATTGTAAGACTTGCCACATAATAAGCAGCTCCAGAAACTAAAGAAACTTCAGAGAGGTTCAACGCCCGACCAGTCCCGGTTATGTAGAGGATCTAAGAGAACAAAACTTGACAACATTAGATGAGAGAACTACCAACAGAGATATGATAATGTGTAAGACACTCACATGTGACAAGACAGACAGATACAGACTGAAGGAAGGGGAGGAGGAGGAATTAAGGTCCCATAGATGCAAGTTTGAAACACAAACGAGTCACAAGAATATAAAAAAAAGCTAATATGAGGGTAATAAAAAAGTGGACGATTAGGGTAGTGAAGCAGTAGAGACTCCTTACACAGACTGAATAATATGTATGAAAAAAATCCACGAGGCTAGAAACCAACAGCATCCAGGTGGAGATGTATCAACTGGTATCTTCATCCACTGTGACTAGTTACTAGTTTATAATCTCTCCTTTCCTCTCCCCCTCCAAAAAAAAAGATATGCTTTAAGATGCTCTTCATGAGGCTGTGTGAGCATTTTCCGCACGGCACATAATAATCTCTCAACTTGCCTCTATTGTAAAGCTCAAAGTTACGAGCGTATCCACAAGCAGAGTTTACGGCAGCTATTTTCATCAAAGGCATCCCATCCAATTTTGGTCACGTAAGGTAAAAAGTATTTGAGAAGTTTGTAAGCGGAGCCAATATCAGAGTGTGGTGTAAGCAGCGTCTTATCTGTGCTGGAAGAGTTGCCAAACCCTCCATAGATGTGGGCACTGCCTCAGCCGCCGCCGCTACCGCAGCTGCCGCCGCTGCCGCCGCTGCCGCCGCTGCCGCCGCTGCCGCCGCTGCCGCCGCTGCCGCCGCTGCCGCTGCTATCGTCCTGCCGCTGCCGCCGTCACACTATCATCTCGTGTAATAAACATTTAAATGGTGACATTTTCCTTCTCAGAGACGAAAAAACCTCCCGGATATTTCACGGATAATGCGGCTCTTACCCCACATTTGTTAGTACGAATACCATTCTGACTTCAAGTATAGTTGATGAAGTCTCCCATGAAGGATGTCGTCGGCCAGTCCACGGAGAGCGAACGCCAGCGAGCGACCATCTTTCACGGCAGTAAACGCCAGCCCAGCGACCATCTCTCACGGCAGTGAACGTCAGAACATCCACCATCTCTCACAGCAGTCAATATGGTCACAATGACGACTGAGTCGCCACGACCACGACCATGTTCAAGCCAGCTGGACGCTACGTTGACAAACTATGAATTTTCAAGCTTGAAGAGTTATTGATTGAATTACTTTTTTTTTTTTTACGATCAGGGTTCTACCCAGCGTCGAGCGTGATCTAGTTAGCCAACAACTGTTTTGGGTGTTAGCATAATATTCCATAAACTAGTGTAAATAACGAGAAGAGTAGCCAGGGTAGGCTGCTCTGAGCTGCTTGTTAGGCAGGAAAAACCTCTCCCCCACACACTTCTTTTCCTTAGAGATTAAATGCAGTGACTCAGCTTTTTCGTGCCCCGGAAAGTGCCAGAGTTAGTAAAACACACTAACACACATACATACATACACATACATACATACATACATACATACATACATACATACACACACCAGGGCCAGGAGCTATGAATCGACCCCTGCAACCATAATTAGGTGAGTACACACACTCCAAGTCTGAACACAAACTGCTCCACAGTCACACCAGAGGAAAGACGATAGTAAAAAATAGGTAAAAAGACTAAATAATATTAAAGAAGGAAGGAGAACTCATGAGAAACAAGAAAATTTGCAAGAACCTGATCAAACGATTCAAAGAAGTATTGAAAGGAGTATTCAAAGTATTATCAATAGGAACTGAGGCAACACCACAAAGTCAGGGCACACCGACGGGTAATGAACATACGACAGAGAAAGAGATGGAAAAAAGCTTGATGAACTGGACTGATCACTGGCAACAAGACCTGACGGTCACCATGGATTCTGAGAGTGGAAGCAGCAGCTGTGGCTGAACGAAATCTACGAATAAATGGCTACGGGACAGTTGTTAGATATCTGTAAGACAGCGAGAAACAGACCCAATATACAGGAAAGGAGACAGGAAGCGTTAAACTACAGACCAGTATCACTGAAATGCTTCGTAAGATACTGGAGGAGACAGTAGGAGAGTGGTGGGAGCATATTTGCAGAATAGGCTTCACAGACAATAGCAGCAATGGGTTTAGAGATGACAAATGTCTTGTAAACCTGCTGAAGTTGTAAGATTAAGACAAATGAGGCAAGAGAGAGAGAGACGGACATTTAACACAGTACCTCACAAGACACGGGCATAATACTTGTTCAGGCAGATAGAAATAACAGTGAATGTCCTACTGCCGATCAGGGAAGGATACAGTGACTCTGGAGAAGAGATGCTGGGATGGAAAAAGTTCAACAAGTAGTATCCCACGAGAATTGACATTTGGACTGATGTTCTGCCTGGAATGTATGAATGACCTGATGAAAGAGATGTAGGCACATCTATCTCTGTTTGCAGATGATTGAGAATTAATGAGATAAAAAATAGATGAGGATAAGGAGGGGCTACATAAAAGACCTGAGAAAAATGCATGTTTGATCAGACAAGTGGCTACTGGAAGTCAATCTCAGTAAAAACAGGATAATGAAAGATGAAGACACATGTGCATCACCTAGGTGTCTTTTTTATGACACCCTTGTGTTGCACATGAGCCGTTTTCATTAAATTGTCGATATGATACATCAATAATGTATTATTGAAAATTAGAGAATTTGCAAGACCAGTAATTGAGTATAGACTCCGAAGGACATGGGCTACAAACCTCACTAAAGGGGAGAGAGAGAGAGAGAGAGAGAGAGAGAGAGAGAGCGCAGACAAAGGAATGATTATGCGAAAAAATACAATTAGCAAATAGTGAAAAAAAGAGAGGGATAAAATTACCGAGGCAAGAGATAAAAGGGACAAGAGGAGAATCAAGTGAAGGAGGTGGGGATGAAAGTGGAAACAGAAGGTGGTGATAGAGAGAGAGGTGAGATGTGTGAAAAGGGAGATAGAGACGAGAGAGCAAGGCAAACACTAGACGTTTCAGGGACGAAGTCTTTTACCGGCATCTTCAAAAGGATGCTGCATCTTTCAAGACACACCTGCATCCCTTAAGATCTCTCTCTCCACATCCACTCCCCCACACACCCACACTGCAGGTAAGTCACCCAAATGAATTAGGGTGTTCCTTTGACATCTGACTCGAGCTAACGGGTTATAATCAATATTGTTTTGTTTTCAAGACAGAGTTCTAAGAATTCGTGGCTGGAAATCGAGACCAGAATGGCAATGCAATAATATATATATTATATATATATATATATATATATATATATATATATATTATATATATATATATATATATATATATATATATATGCAAAACAACCACTGTGAAAGACTAGAGAAATTCCAAGCGCTTTCGTGACTACTCACATTATCAAGGAACTATGAAAGTAAAGCATCCAAGGAAGGTATATAAGGGGTCTGGCCAACACCTCACTATCAGATCCCACAACAGTTAAACACCTGACGCGCGCCGGCCCAATGTGTGATCTTATTGCATATATATATATATATATATATATATATATATATATATATATATATATATATATAATATATATATATATATATATATATATATATAATGTATGTATGTATGTATAAAGAAGTATGACGACCTGTTGTGCTTGGCTGACCTTCCTGAAACAGGGAATAAAGTGCCAGCAACACACTATTAAAGAATGATGATGGAGGGCTGGAGGCTGTGACATACAGTCAATAACCTGAGATGCAGTCCCTTACCCGGCTTCAGCGCTGTCTTATAACACAGGTGAACCTTGTTTATTACGTGGGTGCTGCCTTACCTACGCTGTCATACACAAATGCTATTATGTAGAGACGACGTTACGTTCACACAGGGGCCTTTATCCGCCCCACTACGAGTGTAGTGGGGCGGAGTAAAACAAGTGAGAATTGTTATAACTATGTCCATAATTTTTAAAGAAGTTTACCAGCAAGCCAGCGGAAGGTCTCGGTCAGATGACCAGAAGCTCCAATGAAGGGTCATCATCTGACTAAGACCAGCGTCAGAAGACACTTACCCTGCTTCCTGACGAACCTAACCTACACATCAGGTCATTTTTTTTATACCAAACATCCTGAATGTTCTCAGGCAAGAGGCTCAGCTCTACTATAGAAGCAGTTTTGGTTAAAATTGTTGGAGACAATGTGGAATGCACTTTCTAGGCATAATCTCTGAGCATCGTCCTCCTAGACAGTTAGTAAGGCACCTCAGCAGTTTATCAAGTTGCAGTAATATGAGTTTCGAAGTCTGAGTTTCAACGCTTCATCGTAATGTTCTTGTGGTCTAATTGTGTAGTTAATTCGTTAGTATAATACACAAATAACCCGCACATAGTCACAATTAATGGTCTAAGTCGGACCTAAACGCCGTTATAAGTTTATTTCTTCTATGTGCGGGTTATTTTTTATATTATTTCAGTCAGGGTATTGTGCCTTTTTGTTCATTAGTATTATAAGTGAATCCATAAGTCACTGACTTTTTTGGGTTATCCCAGGTTCTCTACACATATGCTGTTATGTATGATAATCTATGTAACTGTATTTGTGTATACCTGAATAAACTTACTAGAAGATTGCTGTGGGCCAGTCCATGGACTAATTATACGCTTCTGTAATCTTCTGACCACCCACACCACAAAGTTATCAAACTAGCGCCCAGAAATACCGGACGTTCCGTAAGGTTTGTTTGAATTATCAACAATAAATGAAAACCTTGCTATATTGTGCATCACTGTACCTTAATTAACCACGTCCCTTAACTCTCGGTAAACAAAAATAAAAGAGAAAAACAGAGCAATTTACTGGACTTGAAAAAAAAGTCGAGAGTAAATATCTCTTGGATACAAGCCTCGTCAAACCTGGACAACATATTCCGTTTTTTTTTTGTTGATGTTTCTAGGGATGGACACTGCCTCTCAACCAGGCCTCTTAAAGTGGAAAGGAAACACATTAGGACAGGGAACTATTAAAGAAAGTAGAAATTTGTAAGATTTATCTGCTATCTTGCATGTTTATTAGACAGAAAAAAGCTAGCTGTCTTGCTAGAGTGCAGAACATTTAAGAGGCTTCCATATTACAGTCGTATGACTGGATTGTAGTCTGGTAAAGATAGAGTTCACATCAAATATGTATTAGAGAAGGATTGTCTCATCATTCTCTCTTAAAGCCCAACCACGGGATGGTAACATACTACCCTGAATGGTTCCAGTCTGCCAGCCTACAGAAACAGACCTCACCAAGCCTGGATTATCCTTCGCACCGACCTGACGATATTAGGCTGATCCCAAAACACATCAGGTCTTACACAATGCACCTTCACCTTGGCGCCGACCCTTAATTAAACTCAACATTAATTAATAGTAGAGGATTTACGAGGAGAAGTTCTTACTAGAGTAGTTATAGCTGTTAGATTAGGTACAGCTGCTACACTAGTTACAGCTGCTAGACTGGTTACAGCTGATGGACCATCTACGGGTGCTACACTAGTTACAGCGGAATTTGATTATACTGCTGGCAGTAATAAAATATAATTACGCCCATCTTAGCCACGGAAAATTATAATCACTGTGTTCTCGTTACACGGAAAATTGTAATTGCTTTGCTGTTATCGTTACAACATTATAATAGCTATGTTGACAGCAGAAAGACGCATTTATAATGCTAGTAGCAATGAGTCGCAATGACACCACTGGCAGAAAAATAGGCATTATAATCACAGTGGTGGCAACAGTGGGATATTATGAGTACAATGACAGTAACAGATAAGACATTGTGAGTATGGCAATATAAACACAAATGCAGTATAATGTGATCCTTTATTGACTACGTTTCGCCCACACAGTGGGCTTTTTCAAGTCACAAACACACTACATTGTGAGTATAGTGGTGGAATGTAATTTTTAGCACTGGTGGCAGTGGGGCCTTACTATTAGTGTATGTGGTGCAATAATTGCAGGTACCTACAGACGTGGTAGTAGTTTATGCAAGACAGCTACGGTGAGGTAGTTAATGTAGTGGGTGGAAGTGTTGGAGAACAACTTACGTAAGACAGCCAGGGTGACGGAGGCGACTAGGGTGGTGGGGGAGTGGTAGAGTGCTGGGTGAAGAGCTCGGCAGGAGTACTGTTGACCATCGTCATCTGGCTCTGGCTGGAGCAGCAGGCGGCTTCTTACGCTCCATCTCCTAGGCTGTTTGGAAGCCTCCACGATATCCTGGTGCATGCCTGGTGGAGGGTGGGATGGGAGAAGAGGTTATAGAGTAATGGTCGACTTCGTGTGTACTCTCGCTAATACAGGTCAACACAAAGTATATACACACAGTGGCCACTTTATTAGGTACACACATACGCCTCTTTAAAGCAAATATCTAATCAGCCAATCACGTGGGAGCAGTTTAGTGCCTAAAAGCATGGAAACATGGTCAAGATGCTCATTTGTCACCTAAATTAGACAGTTGAAGGTTGGAGAAACGTCTCCTGGTCTCACGAATCGTGATTTCTGCCGCGACATGCAGATGGTAGGGTCAGAATTTGGCGTAAACTTTTGGGATAAGGTGCAGCGGTAGATACGCAGCATGAAAGTGCAGTCGGCGAATCTGCAGCAACTGTATGATGCTATCACGTCAACATGGACCAGAATGTCTAAGGAATGCTTCCAGCGCCTTGTTGAATCAGTGCCATCAGGAACTCAGGCTGTTCTGGTGACGAAGGTGAACCCTACCCAGTACAAGAATGGCGTACCTAATAAAGTGGCCACCGAGTGTATAGCGGAGCATATCTCTCGGTATATATTCAATGAGAATTTACATTAATCCCCATTTCTGATGCTAATGCATACATAAATTGCAATGATCCACGGACAGCCACTGTGATTTATACCTAAAAGACTAATTTGTCAGCAGCAGTGTAGAGGTATCATATATTTATACATATATATATATATATATATATATATATATATATATATATATATATATATATATATATATATATATATATATATATATATATATATAATGGGTAGGGAGGCAAAATGATGCAATCATGAAATTTTTATCCAGGTAAATGATAAAATCACATTGAGGTCGAAGATGGCCTCAAGGGGAAAGTTTATAGACTAAACTATTGCACGAGGGTTAACTCCTCAACATTGCTGTCTATTATCGTATATAATGGGCCACAACCTTCCCACTTACAGTCTTCCACCACTCCAATTAGAGAGTGGGTCAACAGAGCCTAGGAGAAAGCTGGAGGAGGAAGGTTTGGAGGAGGAGTGGGAGACAGAAGCCCCTAACAAGAACAACACGTCTCCTGGAGTTATTCAGACACTGCTACACCATTGTCTCTCCCCGAGGTCTTGAATTAAACTATTTTCACATCCATCACTGGAATGACAAAGCCAGAATCTTGCAGAGGATTCAGTATGAAAACATTGTTATTATATAGAAAACTACCAGATTATGCTGAGATGAATAGAGCAGACGGTCTCTGGTGGGAAAAAAAAATATTCCTTAGAGGGGTTCTGAGAAAGAAAATTTAGTAAATTTAACAGTAAACCTCCCAGCAGAAATAATATATAAGTATATTATATATATGTATATTATACATACATTTATACACATACGTATATATGACTAGCATCTTCCGTCTTGAAGGTACTTGGTTGTTTACTGCCCATCATAATGTTATTGAGCTCAGAAAATTGTTTTTACGAGAATCTTATGGGCTGCCTCAATTTAGACTCAGTAATGCTAGCGTCCCGAGGCTCGCCCGGCCTCAAGTGTCATAGCTGAAGAGGTTAACAGCTTCTTGGACAGAGGTCACGACCTGAGGAGAGGTTAACAGCCTCGGGTATGGCATGACGAGAGATTAGCACCCTAACAAGAGTTTATGACCTTAGGAAAAGTTAACAGGTGTGGGTTAGGTCAGAGAGTAGTTAGCAACCTACCTGCGTGACAGGTGTCTACCTGGGGATGACTCTGGTAATTATGACCCCTCCCCACAGACAGGCCTCCTACCAGGTCTCATGGTTGACGGCTTCATCCTTGTTATTGACCGCAGTTCAGTGTATAGACTACCGGCTATCTACCCAGGAAATTTTTACATGTTTGAAGGGAGGTAGTTGAAAACGTTGACCATGAAGCAGACACAGCGACACCTCAATGGAAAAAAAAGACTTCTAACTTTTTTTTTTATTATATATGACACACTAAACCCGTGGAGGCTCGATCCACCGTCAGGTAAGTGCGAGTAAGGTTCGCTGTCTACTTAGATACAAGACGAGGTACTGACCGTGGTGCAGAGTGATGGCGTCCCTGTACCAGGCGACGGTGGGAGCGGGTCTAGCGTCCGTAACAAGACACTCAAGAATGAGGGAGGAACCAGCCACCACTTCCACAGCCTCACCATCACCAACACCCAATACCCGGATGCTCGTCGGCGACACTGTAAACAAGACACATAGAATGAAAAGGCTGGAACAATACACACATAACCCACACATAGGAGAATGAAACGACGTTTCGGTCTGGTTTGGGGCTCCGTGGACTGGCTGGCAAAGCTCTCGCTTCACACGCGGAGGGCTCGGGTTCGATTCCCGGCGGGGTGGAAACATTTCGACACATTTCCTTACACTTATTGTCCTGGTCACCTAGCAAGTAGGTACCTGGGTGTTAGTCGACTGGTGTGGGTGGCATCCTGGGGGGACAAGATTGAGGACCACAATGGAAATAAGACAGTCCTTGATGACGCACTGACTTTCTTGGGTTATCCTGAGTGACTAACCCTCCGGGGTTAAAAATCCGAAGAAAATCTTATCTTATGAGACTTAATTGTAAACATAGCTTAAGAATCGTGTGCTAGGTAACTAGACTGATTCTCTCCTGACACCTGCTGCTACTACTAACCTGATTGTAACTAGGTACCTGGGTGTTACTAGCAGCTCTTACTGGCACTTGGGTGTTACTAACAGCTCTTACTGGTACCTGGGTGTTACTAACAGCTCTTACTGGTGCCTGGGTGTTACTAGCAGCTCTTACTGGTACCTGGTTGTTACTAGCAGCTCTTACTGGTACCTGGGTGTTACTATCAGCTCTTACTGGTGCCTGGGTGTTACTAGCAGCTCTTACTGGTACCTGGGTGTTACTATCAGCTCTTACTGGTGCCTGGGTGTTACTAGCAGCTCTTACTGGTACCTGGTTGTTACTAGCAGCTCTTACTGGTACCTGGGTGTTACTATCAGCTCTTACTGGTACCTGGGTGTTACTAACAGCTCTTACTGGTGCCTGGGTGTTACTAACAGCTCTTACTGGCACCTGGGTGTTACTAGCAGCTCTTACTGGCACCTGGGTGTTACTAACAGCTCTTACTGGCACCTGGGTGTTACTAACAGCTCTTACTGGCACCTGGGTGTTACTAACAGCTCTTACCGGTACCTGGGTGTTACTAACAGCTCTTACTGGCACCTGGTTGTTACTAGCAGCTCTTACTGGTACCTGGGTGTTGCTAACACCTCTTACTGGTACCTGGGTGTTACTAACAGCTCTTACTGGCACCTGGTTGTTACTAGCAGCTCTTACTGGTACCTGGTTGTTACTAGCAGCTCTTACTGGTACCTGATTGTTACTAGCAGCTCTTACTGGCACCTGGGTGTTACTAACAGCTCTTACTGGCACCTGGGTGTTACTAACAGCTCTTACTGGCACCTGGGTGTTACTAACAGCTCTTACTGGTACCTGGGTGTTACTAACAGCTCTTACTGGCACCTGGGTGTTACTAACAGCTCTTACTGGTACCTGGGTGTTACTAACAACTCTTACTGGTACCTGGGTGTTACTAACAGCTCTTACTGGTACCTGGGTGTTACTAACAGCTCTTACTGATACCTGGGTGTTACTATCAGCTCTTACTGGTACCTAGGTGTTACTAGCAGCTCTTACTGGTACCTGGTTGTTACTAGCAGCTCTTACTGGTACCTGGGTGTTACTAACAGTTCTTACTGGTACCTGTGTGTTACTAGCAGCTCTTACTGGTACCTGGGTGTTACTAACAGCTCTTACTGGACCGGGTGTTATAACAGTCTTACTGGCACTGTGTGTTACTAACAGCTCTTACCGGACCTGGGTGTTACTAACAGCTCTTACTGGCACTGGTTGTTACTAGCAGCTCTTACTGGTACCTGGGTGTTGCTAACACCTTAGGTACCTGGGTGTTACTAACAGCTCTTACTGGCACTGGTGGTTACTAGCAGTCTTACTGGTACCTGGTGTTACTAGACACTCTTACTGGTACTGAGTGTTACTAGCAGCTCTTACTGGCACCTGGTGTTACTACAGCTCTTACTGGCACCTGGTGTTACTACACATACCGGATGCTTACTGGCGACCTGGTGTTACTAAAAGCTCTTACTGGTACAGGGTGTTACTAACAGTTTACTGGCACGGGTGTTACTAACGCTCTTACATGGTACTGGGTGTTATAACACTCTTACTGGTCTGGTGTACTACAGCTCTACTGGTACCTGGGTGTTACTAACAGCTCTTACTGTACTGGGTGTTACTACACGTCTATGGTACCTGGTGTTACTAGCAGCTCTTACTGGTACCTGGTGTTACTACAGCTTACGGTACCTGGGTGTTACACAGTTTTACTGGTCCTGGTGTTACTAGCAGCTCTTACTGGTACCTGGGTGTTACTAACAGCTTATGGTACTGGGTGTTATAGCAGCTCTACTGGTACCTGGGTTACTAACAGCTCTTACTGGTACCTGGGTGTTACTAGACAGCTCTTACTGGTACTGGTGTTACTAGCAGCTCTTATGGTACCTGGTGTTACTAACAGCTTATGGTACCTGGTGTACTAGCAGCTTTACTGGTACGGGTGTTACTAACAGCTCTTACTGATACTGGTGTACACAGCTCTTACTGGTACACTGCGGTGTTAGCTAATCTGAGCTTTACTGGTACCTGGGTGTTACTATCAGCTCTTACTGGTACCTGGATGTTACTATCAGCTCTTACTGGTACCTGGGTGTTACTAGCAGCTCTTACTGGTACCTGGTTGTTACTAGCAGCTCTTCCTGGTACCTGGGTGTTACTAAACAGTCTTACTGGTACCTTGTGTTACTAGCAGCTTACTGGTACTGGGTTACTACAGCTCTTACTGGTACCTGGGTGTTACTAGCAGCTCTTACTGGTACCTGGGTGTTACTAACAGCTCTTACTGGTACCTGGGTGTTACTAACAGCTCTTACTGGTACCTGGGTGTTACTAGCAGCTCTTACTGGTACCTGGGTGTTACTAACAGCTCTTACTGGTACCTGGGTGTTACTAGCAGCTCTTACTGGTACCTGGGTGTTACTAGCAGTGTTATGTACCTGGTGTTACTACAGCTGCTTTACTGTACCTGGGTGTTACTAACAGCTCTTACTGGTACCTGGGTGTTACTAATAGCTCTTACTGCTCTGGTGTACTGCAGCTCTTACTGGTACCTGGGTGTTACTAAAGCTCTACTGTACTGTGTAGCTACCTGGGGTGCGTTCTAAGCATTCATTATCTGTACTTGGCACATATCTGCTCTACGTACCTCGGGTGTTACACACTCTACTGGTCCACCGACAGAGTTCACAGGCTGTCCCATCTACGTAAAGCATTCCATTTTCATTTATCTATGAACCACACCATCATCTGCCACACCACCACTGCCACACCACCACTGCCACACCACCACTTGCCACACCACCACCTGCCACACCACCACCTTCTAAATTAAGCCTGCAATTATCGTATTTATAATTTCAAACTATAATTAGGCAATTATATTTATAGAAGGAAAAATATATAATCTCAGAGTGAGAATATAAGCAGAAAAAATATTTTGGGCGTCTATATTAAAACTGAATTATGTGATAACTAGATAACCAAAACAAAATTTTAAGACCAACTTTACAGTCTACCAGGCCTCCTTCACAGCCTACCAGGCCTCCTTCACAGCCTACCAGGCCTCCTTCACAGCCTACCAGGCCTCCTTCACAGTCTACCAGGCCTCCTTCACAGCCTACCAGGCCTCCTTCACAGCCTACCAGGCCTCCTTCACAGCCTACCAGGCCTCCTTCACAGCCTACCAGGCCTCCTTCACAGTCTACCAGGCCTCCTTCACAGCCTACCAGGCCTCCTTCACAGCCTACAAGACACAAATTCTTGCTTAACGCAAAGTCTCCCTCTCAGGCAGCCCCTTAATGTTCCCTCAGTTCGCCTTTTCAAATTTCTCGCAATATGGAGGTCTGTCTTCCTCCACCTTGCCCCAGTGTACCACATACACACACACACACACACACACACACACACACACACACACACACACACACACCACACACACACCAGAAACTCCATTACTTCAGAATCTCTTATGCACCTCGATATATTCACAGTGTTGTATACTTCCACTTGTCAGGCCTCACAACCTTGTTATGGTAATACCGAGATGCATTATGTATGCATGTATACATATATGTATCTAAGTATGTGAGCGTATGAGCGTGTATGCCCGTGTGTGTGTTGTGTGTGTGTATGTGTGTGTTGATGTGTGGTGTGTGTGTGTGTTGTGTGTGTGTGTTGTGTGTGTGTGTGTGAGTGTGTGTGTGTGTGTGTGTGTGTGTGTGTGTGTGTTGTGTGTGTGTGTGTGTGTGTGTGTGTGTGTGTGTGTGTGTGTGTGTGTGTGTGTGTGTGTGTATTTGTGTGTGTGGACATGATTTCCCATCAAATGTGTTCCCAATTTCTTTATTTTTTCCTAGTACGACATTCGTTGAACGAATATTAAAGATTTTTTCCCATAAAACTTGAAATCTAAAACGAACTCAGGATGAACGAATCATTTCGAGAAGGTCGTCACATTTTACATGATAAAAAAAAAAATGTTATTTTGTATATATTTTATGTGTATACGTATTTTAAGTAGTTTAGTAGATAAAGTTCACATGATGGAGAGGACAAAAAAAAGGAGTTATATTTCGAGAATCTTTGGTTAGTTGAGCTGAGGAATTTTGTTTCATGTTCAGCAAAAATGCATCTCATTACTAAGTTGTGTTGCTGTCTCTGTCTCTTTCTGTGTCTCTGTCTGTGTCTGTCTCTCTGTGTTTGTATTTCTGTCTCTTTCTGTGTCTGTGTTTCTGTCTGTGTCTGTCTCTCTGTGTTTGTATTTCTGTCTCTTTCTGTGTCTGTGTTTGTCTCTGTGTCTGTGACTCTTTTTGTGTCTGTCTCTGTCTCTTTCTGTGTCGCTGTCTGTGTCTCTCTGTGTCTGTGTTTCTGTGTGTGTTTCTGTCTCTTTCTGTGTCTGTGTCTCTTTCTGTGTCTGTGTCTCTTTCTGTGTCTGTCTCTGTCTCTTTCTGTGTCTCTGTCTGTGTCTGTCTCTTTGCGTCTGTCTCTTTCTGTGTCTGTGTTTCTGTCTCTGTGTCTGTGTCTCTTTCTGTGTCTGTCTGTCTCTTTCTGTGTCTGTGTTTCTGTCTCTTTCTGTGTCTGTGTCTGTGTCTCTTTCTGTGTCTCTGCCTCTCTCTCTAAGCTTCTCTTCACATACTGGCTGGTTTACTTCCAGTGCTAAAATTTATGAAAATATGTGCAGGGTCCCATGTTGGGTCCCATGTTGGGTCCCATGTTGGGTCCCATGTTGGGTCCCATGTTGGGTCCCATGTTGGGTCCCATGTTGGGTCCCATGTTGGGTCCCATGTTGGGTCCCATGTTGGGTCCCATGTTGGGTCCCATGTTGGGTCCCATGTTGGGTCCCATGTTGGGTCCCATGTTGGGTCCCATGTTGGGTCCCATGTTGGGTCCCATGTTGGGTCCCATGTTGGGTCCCATGCTGGGTCCCATGCTGGGTCCCATATTGGGTCCCATGCTGGGTCCCATGCTGGGTCCCATGCTGGGTCCCATGCTGGGTCCCATGCTGGGTCCCATGCTGGGTCCCATGCTGGGTTTCATGAGTGTTGTCCAGACCACTACATAAAGCTGGAGGTTACGTCAGTAACCTCCAGCTTTATGTAGTGGTCACTGCTACTTACCCATGACAGTGACGTTGGCAGCTGCCCAGATGGGCAGGGAAGTAGCTGTGGGTCCCACCTGGCACTGGTACTCCCCATCATCTTCCAGCGTCACGCCCTTGATGACTAGGTGATGCTCGCCTCTGGTAGCGTCTCCCAGGTAGTGGTAGCGCGGGTACCCGGGTACGTGACGCTCAAACCCTGATGAGAAGAGCGGCTTCTGCAACACAGTCTTGTGAGAATATCTCCTGAAGCGAAAGACTAATAATCTTGTGGAGGAGAGCGGCTCCTCCAACACATGATAATTACCTCTTGGCGGGAGAGCAGCTTCTGCAACACAAGATAATAATTCTGCAAGAGCGGTTCCCGCAACACAACTTGTTCTCCAATGTTGGCCAAAGAGAACTACCTCAAAATATTTAAAACTACCGTAACCCTATACAATAATGTATTCTGGCCGCTGCCGCCACAGAGAATGTATCTCCGGCCCTCCACAGCCTCTGTTCCCTGTTATCCCCTCCCTCCTATCTCTGGATATTTCATGAAAAGTAAATATTATTAACTGCCCATCCAGTCTATCTTCCAGACTGGATGACGTGTGTATCTCTATCAGTCCCAGAAGCTGGATCTCAACCTTCTAAAGACAAGGTTAGTAGCAGGCCCAGAAACTAGACCTCCACTTACCCCCCCCCCTAGAAAAAATGCACTATAGATATTAATAAAATAGGTAACATTACATATACCTAAGGATTTACACATCAAAAAATTTCCAAATTGCTAAAAATCAGTTAGAGATTGCATCTCTTCCCCTCTCCCCCCCCAGCTCAAAAAAAATATATTAATTTGTCGCAACGATAGCCAAATAAAAATAATTTTAATTATAAGGACAACTCAGGAATGAAACATCGATGGTGTACAGTGACTTACAATATAATCCTCTGGCGCTGGTGCTAAAATATATATGTGTGAAAATGTAACGAATTTATGTTAATGTAATTGCGTTACTGATGTAAAAAGTAACTCAGCATTTGGAAATTGGATTTGTTCAGTAGTCAGGGCTAAAAGACTAATGTAATCTGACGATGCTGACGTGGGTAATTACCTTGCTGACGGAATGCACAGATTAACCTTTCAAATGAAGCAATTATTAATAATAATTAGTGATAAAGATTATTTTCGTTGATGACGGGAGTTGCCACTCTGACCTTTCTGTATTCACCTAGTTATGCTAGTAGGGGTTCGAGGCTCAGCTCCTGGCTCCGCCTTCTAGATCACAGAAAGCGTCATCACCGATTTCTGGCCTCTAGAACTATATCCTATCTACTCTTGAAGCTGTGTACTGACCTCGCTTCCATCACGACTTCATCCAAGTCATTCGAAGTTGAATCCACCTTAAGACTTAAGCGCTTCCTTACATCCCTATGGATGAGATAAAGGGATTGTGTGTGTGTGTGTGTGTGTGTGTGTGTGTGTGTGTGTGTGTGTGTGTGTGTGTGTGTGTGTGTGTGTGTGTGTGTGTGTGTGTGTGTGTGTCCGAGAAAGAGCTACTCTGATCCTCTCGACGAAAAGAAAAATAAATTGACGAATGTTGATTTGTTCGACTTTATTCTCTTTGTCTACCTCGAGCGTAGGGCAACAATTCTACGTGTTGTTTGTTTGCCTAATTGCTTGTTTGCTTCATAGACTTTCGATAGCTTTCAGCTTCCTCTCTCCAAACACGGACAGAATAATGTTTGCATCATACCAGGAGATCAAATTGATTTTGTCTGAGGTAGGTCACAGACACAGGTTACGTTCTGAGTGGTTGTGACCACTCAGATAAACCGGATCATCCGCAGCATGCTAGACCAAAGTGGTAATAGTAGTAGTAGTCGTAGTATGAGTAGTAGTAGCGGTAGTAGTAACAGCAACAGCAATAGGAGTCGTAGCAGTACCATTGGTACCAGTAACAGCAGATGCAGTAGCAACAGTAGGAATGGCAACAGCAGCAGCAGCAACACGAACGGTAATATTAACAGTAACGGTAGCAACATAACAAGGATGTAACAAGTACAGCAATAGCAGTAACAGCCTTAGCTACGGTCAGCCTACGAACGCTTGCCATCATTCACATGACAGCAGGTAACTGTAACCCAACATAAAGACACTTATAACATAATGGATTCTGGAATTTAATAACAAGTGAACTGTGAGGGAATAGTAAACAGCTCTCACTGGAAAATTTAAGATATATATGATAAAATGAAAAGTAATGGGAATAAGAAAAGAGAGAGAGAAGTCAATATTTTGGAAGCAGAAGAGAACAGGACGATTTCTCTTCTTGAAATGCTAAAAAAAACTATATAAAAAGATTACGGTAAGATTTTTTTCACTAAAATTAGTTAATAGGTTGAGTTAGCTGTTTGAGAAGATTATTTTAAGAAAATCTAACGAGTGTAAAAAACTAATCATTAAAATAATGTAAACTAACGATTATATCAAATGAAAAAGAAATTAAGAAAAAAATTGTAAAAAAAAAATGTATCTTTTAAATGCAAAATATAAAGGCGTGGTACAGAAATTTCACAATTTCTGAAATTTTCCTCACTTAATTCATATGGAAAAGACACAAGACGTATCCTCTATGGGTTTCTATGGACAGGATTATATCCAGGAATATTTGTCCATTGGCTGGTTGATCGAGTTTGCGAACTATCGACTATACGAGGGTCATTAAGTTTCCTTGTGACCTGTTCACTACAAGAATTACAACCCAGGAACAAAAAGGCCTGTTATCCTGGGTGTAAATGGAGCAAAATAAACACAGCTGAAAACTTTGACTTATATTATCCTTCACCAAGTATAAACAGAAGTATATACACTATGTACACTATGTACAGCAATAGGTATTAGTGCATGCCACGGTAATCAAGGCAGAATTGGAGCCTATAGAATGCAGACCACCATGCTTCAACCAGCTCTTGAATGGAAATGATAAGAGTGAAAACGTGAGTGGTAACCATGTCACCTCCACAATTGCCAGATCCACATTCTCATTGGCTGAACCTAGATACTGATCCGACGATGGAGCCCCATCGTCTGATCCTTAGCATCTGGTTCACTGGTTGGGGAGGTAGCCCTTTAATGAGGGTGTGTACATGTGCTGAATAAAGGTTACATACTCTTTGCATGCCACAACCAGCCAAAAATATTTTAAACACTCTCACAGTGATTAAGTTATATCTCTCAGTAGTACAACTGAAAGGTTTGTTGTACCTGGCAGTAAGTCAAAGAACAAACCAAGAGAACAAAGGTAAATACCAAGACCATTTCATATGATATGTACAATGCGCAAAAGAGCAGCAACGTAGGCAGATACCATATAAATCAGAGCTATAATGAATATAAATCAAAGAAGAATGAGAGGACAATGAGTTCATTTCCTGCTATTATAAATCAAAGGAGAGAGACCGGTATATTTACTCAGCCTGCTAGTGAGAAACTGGTTAAAATCAGAGGTGTAAGTATAACATTAATTCGGCTGAAGTCAACCTCTCACCAAATTGTTTGACGTATAAACCTGGCAGACCCCGACGAGAGAATTGCCACAATTAGCAAGTTGACTGGTACAGAGGGAGTGCAAGAAGTTGCGTGGTGAACGCCGACTAAATGTTAACATATTTAGCGTTCGCCACAGTATATACACGGAAAGACATGCACCTCTCTGTGTATATATCGTGTGTGATCATCACTAACTTTCTGGGTTGCATGCGTAAGGTGCCAGGTGCAAACACTTGCGTGCTTCGGGTGAAACTAAGTACTCTCACTCATACGAGCTTGTCAATACCTTACATGGCGAGTGGCTTTACTCTAACACACGAGGATTAGACAATAATTCCCCCATTGTTTCATCATGAAGGTATTTTGGCAAACTCTGCCAAAATATTTTAAAGTAAAAAACGAAATAGAAATTTTTGTTGAATTGGTGTAAATCACAAATATGCAAATAAGCCACTGATGTCAATCAATAACCCTTAACATGACGTCTCTCACTGACACCTCTCACTGCCATCCTGACGTCTCTCACTGACCTCTCACTGCCATCCTGACGTCTCTCACTGACACCTCTCACTGCCATCCTGACGTCTCTCACTGATTCCTCTCACTGCCATCCTGACGTCTCTCACTGATTCCTCTCACTGCCATCCTGACGTCTCTCACTGATTCCTCTCACTGCCATCCTGACGTCTCTCACTGATTCCTCTCACTGCCATCCTGACGTCTCTCACTGATTCCTCTCATTGCCATCCTGACGTCTCTCACTGATTCTTCTCACTGCCATCCCGACGTCTCTCACTGATTCTTCTGTCAACCAAGAAGGTCTAACACCTCTCACACACTGACACAAGTATACACTGCCTGTGAGGCCAGGACTACATAAATATATACTAAACAAAGGTACAAGTCACAGATATCTTGGTCACAAAAGAATGTGTTGGAAGTCTGTGAAGCCAGTCCTGAGCTCTGCCAGGCCGAGGTAAGTGATACAACCAATTTTATTAATAATTATGTATGATAATGTAACTTAGTCTTCCACTAACCGAAATTAGGTAATTACACACACACACACACACACACACACACACACACACACACACACACACACACACACACACACACACACACACACACACTACCTAAGTTACTCTCGCATTTTGAAATACGATGACCTAATTCAATTTTACCGAGTTTGTTACTGTTGCTATTGGATAATGGTGTTGTTGTTGGTGTTGTTGTTGGTAGTGATGGTGGTAGGGCTGTTGTTGTAGATGGAGGTGGTGGTGGGGTTGATATTGTTATTGTTGATGGGGGTGGTGGTGTTAAGGTTGTCGATGGAGTTGGTGGTAGTGGTTGTGGTGTTGTTTCTGTGGGTTGGTTGGTGGTGGTGTTGGTGATAGTGGTAGCAGGGTTGGTAGTAGTAGTAGTACTAGTGGTGGTGGTGGTGGTGGTGGCCCTGTTGGCACTGTCATCACTAGTTTTGTCACCCAGTGTGGAAGCATCCACTCTGCCACCCTCAGCCAACACCAAGTACCCTACAACGCCACCACCGCCACCACCGCCACCACCACCACCGCCACCACCACCACCACCACCACCGCCACCATCACCACAAGGACCTTACATCCAGGTGTTTTGTTACCACATAAAGGCTGCCGCTGTAA